AACTAAGTACGGGTATACGTACGTACGAGTACAATTGTATTTTGACTTAACTTGACTTTATAACGTTTAGGAATTGAGGTCGACAGAATTCCAAAAATAAGGCGTGAATTAAATCTAGAAGTGTCAGGTCAGTGGGCGTTACGGATACAGTTTTCCGATCCACTGAACTGTAATTTGAAGCGCGTAAGGAAGCTGTAGCAGCTTGAGTATTACTTCGTAATAATATACTATTATATTCGAGGACTCAATGGTAGAAACGTATGGCTGTACGGTCGTGGGTCCGTTCCTCACCGGGTTCAACAATTCGACGATGAGGTGTAGGACTCGGTAGCTCAATTGGTAGAGCAACAGCACGGAACACTGACGATGCCGGATCAAGTCCTGCCCGGGTCGAAATTTTTTTCAATTTATTTTCGATTTTTAAACTTGACATATCTCATGTTTTTAATAAAACTTTTCAACTAAAAATGGTTCATCCCTATATACAGTATCAAAATTTAAAAAGGCGACTGGGTTTAATTAGTAAAATGCGGAAGTTAAAGTAGAAACGCGTAGTAAAATACATTTTATGTAAGTTTCGCCTTTCAAACCAATAAAAGTGTTTTATTTAAATGTGTACTACTAGCGTAAATGACAGACAATTAAGTGTGTAAAAGGATAATGTAATAAAATTTGCATTTATATATTCTTACATAACCTAATCGATTCTCGACAACCTACGGGTTGACCCACTATGACTATCAATTTATAACAAGCGAGAGCTCTTCGCAAATTGGGTGTCTTCCCAGAGGAAATCAAGACTAAGCTTTGATATTACTGGCAGCTAATTAGTGCTGATAGCTAATTATTATAACATGTGTTTCACCGCAACATTGTGACAGATGCAGTTACTTACTGTACTGAATATAATATAACATGGACGCGTTCAACTCTTCTACAAATTATTACAATACTATTATTTTAATTTAACAATACAACTCCTTCTTAAAACTTCATTATATTTACTTAATGACATTATATAAATCTTTAAAAATTGATGACACCGGCATAGACAGCGATCAGTACGGCACCCCTAACCAATTGGGCTACTGTCTCGATTTATATACAACCTTAATTAACTTGTACAATACCATATATTAATAAGAACAAGTTAATTGCAGTTAATATTAAAAAAATATTTGACTAAGGTGAGATTCAAACCCGACGTCAAAGTAAAAACTGCTACGCTATCGCCTTTTACTTTGACGTCAGAGACATCCTTCATCTTTAATCTCCCCATAACCACGGCTGCTGCAAAGCATCCGAAACGTCGGGCCGTAGTTAAAAATAATTTTCAAACAAGTTTAACTAAAATATATCGCGTTTTAAACGGTTAAATTGTTTTATTAAAATGTGTACTAGTCCTGCAAACTACAGAAAGTCCACAAGTATCATGCTATTGCTACCAATCGAGCTACACCTATTAGCTTTATTGGACGGTACCTATATGGGACAATGACTAGCACCCTTACTTACAGGGTACAAGAATAATTCGATTAACAAATAAAAGCAAAACTTAGTAATCTTATAACGTTTTTTTATATAAATACAAATATCGTAATAATACCAGATTCGCCTACCAGATTTGGTCTAAAAAATAAAAATATATTTTTAGCACAGACCCCAAACTACTAGGAGGCCACGCGACAGACACATAAAGGCTTTTATCTAACGCGACCCTTTCAACTTTTCCATCAAGGATAAAAATAAAACAATATAAGTGAAATAAGGCAGGAATAAAAGTATTCTTATAGGGAAAGAAAGTGTTTTGTTTAAAGTAAATGTTGTTAGGGAAGTTTTTATTTGCTTAGTCGTCAAGCGAATAAAAAGATGGCAGTGAGCTTTCAGAACGACGTGAAATAACTTAATAGACATTGGTTTTTTAATGTTTTAAACAAATACAATTTGATATCTGCTATGGACTTGTATATTTAATTGTATATAATTTTGTGATTCAATTCAAAACAAGAAAATGGAAGAATTTAAATACAATTAAGAAAATAGAGGTAGTAATCAAACAAAAATAGTGAATAAAAATAGAGAAAAGAATTGAAATGTGAATGATATTGTTGTGAGGTGAAACGATAAGAAAAAGTAGGAGTAACGTTAAAGTTCTTCGCTTGCAATCAACAAAGTATTCTTCCACGAAAGTTTCAAGATTCCACTATTACAAATTGCTAGGTTTGCAAAACCACAAAGCGAATCTTGTGTTTATGACGATGTCACAGACAATAGGAAAAATATAGCACACATTATCTCGGTGTATTCAAATATATCGTACGTATTTTATTCGTAACACAGATAAAAAAGTACTAAACCTATTCACCATCCAGCTAAAACCCATTTTATCTTGAAACATTTCGTAACTTACTTTGAATTACTCATCATTTTCAGAATATCATTTATCACAGAGCCGATTGCGTTAAGAGATTAATCTTAACGAACAGACAAGTAGCTTCGTAGCAAGTTCTACGGTATTATTGCTAGAATTTCCTCGGCTGACTTCTTATGTTGGAATTATGTAAATTTTGACTCGAGTTCGCCACGTTGGTGTTTCGTAAACCCTTTCACGAGCAACGAAAGTGGTAATTTTTACTCCTTACAATAAAGCTTATTGCTATTGTTTGTTTGAATTTGAAAATTCATATTAACCTTCAAGAAATTTATACCCATCCTTTATGATCAAAGCAGAAATAACATTATTATACAATAATATGTTATTGATAAATGTTGTTTTAATTATATATTTTTATCACGCTGTGGTCGTGGGTTTACCTGTAAAAGTATTTCAATTATTATTATTTGATAAATAATAGGTAAGCATGGCGTTCGCTTGATTGTAGGTAAATTTCCCAGCCAAATAACATCTAAATAAGATGCGCGGTCGATCTATTTTGGCTTTGGACATTCGGCTTTTTCATCTGTGAACAGCGGTTCAGGAACCGGACAGAAATTTGATTCGTACCACCCATTTAATATCCAGATTTCAAAAAAGTCCTATATGTTTCAGAAAAAAAAAATTTAAAAAAACATGTTGGAAACGGTGGTGATCGTCAAAAATGTATTTATAGTCTGTACAGTATAAAGAGATATATTACTCACCTTTCAACGACACTCAATTTCCTGTATGTCAAAAAGAAGAAGAAATCATTTCGTCAGATGTTGATTTTCGAATATCAGTCTTTCCCCTCATCTTTTTTTAATATAGAGGAGGACAGACAAGCATAGGCTACACTTGATGGGAGGTGAAATACCCCAGCCATATAACGTGTAAGCAAGATGCGCTGTCGACCCATTTTAGCTTTGAATATTCGGAAATCCACAGACTGAAATCGAAACGCAATTAAATATACGTTTTTGTCGTCTGTGGACAGTGGCTCGTGATCCAGACGGAATTCTGTTATTCCTAGCACCTATAAAGATTATAAGCATGTGGACCCGGTGGGGATCGAATCCACGACCCGTTGATTATTTGCCATATATTTCTACCATTAGACTAACCTCTTTCGAAGTGATACGTCGTATATTATTATTGATCGCATTATAAGACACCTACGTCACTATAACCGATGCATCTACTGTATTCATAAAAAGCGGGGCAAGTTGTGAATAATTCATAACTCCGTGCAGGCACGTGCCAAAGTTAAAACAGATTTGCATAATCCTCAACACAGCTAGAGTCGCTACTGAATAAGCTGCTTGAGTAGTATAGGGCTTTTTAGGGTTTCGAACTCGAGTACCTAAGCCCTCGGTACAATCTAGACAAGGCTGAATATATAAATTAACTAGCTGTGTCAGCGATTACGTCGCCGTTGTCCGAGCAGCCATTTTGGGCACCGTATATTTTTTTGGTCACAGCCTCATGTACCTTAGCCTAAAACCTTCCGCCATGAATGGTCCAAACAAAATATTTTTTTTTCAAACCGAAACAGTAGTTTATCGCGTTCAAACGAAGTCTTCAGCTGTATAATCTATACTAATATATAAAGCTGAAGAGTTTGTTTGTTTTTTGTAAGTTTGAACCCGCGAATCTCAGGAACTACGGGTTCGAATTGAAAAATTATTTTTGTGTTAGTAAGAATATTCATCGAGGAAGGTTATAAGATAAAAGTAAGTATATCTATTTAAGATTAACTTGAAAGTGCGATGGGACGCAAGCGACGACGTAGGTAACAGCTTAAATCTATAAAGATGAAGAGGGTGGTTGCAAAAACTAATATGATGGTCAAACTAACTATTTTATGCGGACGAAGTCGCTGGCACAATTAGTACTAGTATAATATAACGTACAACCAAAGTTTTATAAGAGCCGTATCGTAATCCTTTCGTAATCCTTTTATTTTACTGGTATAATACGGCCACTGAACCTTAAAATATAATGAACTGACGTCAAACGGATTTGATACTATATATTAAAAATCGATTTAAGATATTATGTAATGCCAGCATGTGAAAAATATTAAAGTTTTCAAACGTTAAACTCTGTAATTTTATGTTCAATGCTATTTTTAGGCTTCTATAATTCATCTTAATACAAACGTGTTAAGGTTGAAATTACGTTGCGCAAGCGGTGCATGTATCAAAGTGCATTTCTAAAATCTTATTTTAATTTATAAAATCCTATCATGTGCAATGATTATTATAAAATACGAGTATTAAAGTTTTTAATTTGGAACGTTTTCATTAAATTCCTTCTTTGTACGTAGTTATATTTTGTAAATGAATATAATATCGCGTTTTGGTTTTAAAAAGATTTCTGAATATTTGAAGCCAAAATGAAGAATGTTCAGATGTTATAGGGCTGAGATAATTAATTTTCCATCAAGTGATATGATTGTCTATCCTCATAAAAAATTGGCTTTAAATATAAAATATGTATATACATTTGTGACCTTATTAAGCCTTTCTTTGTTTCAGACCTCAAGATACGCCACAGGAGTCCCAATATAAAACAGGTAAGAATGAAAAGTCAGATGGCTGAAAGCTTGAAAGGAACGATATTGGCTTTAAACTTTCCAGGTCAAAGTTAGTGTGATTCTAAATCAAAGTTTGGAGCAAAATAGCGACACGATCGAGCTGTGAGTGAAAAGGCACTGAGCGAAGTGGAAAAATGCAATTAAGAAATTTCTATTAAGCTTATCATCGATATAAAAATTTAGTTTTAGTAATAAGAAAAAGCCTTTGATGCATCTCCAATAATAAATTATTTATTTATTTATTTTATTTCACTCTATTTTATAATAACATAGATTGTTTTTTAATTGTTGACATTGTTTATTACTATTAACATATATAATACGAACCCATCTTTTCCCACTCTGTCCTATTTCTTCCTTTTTTTTTTCACGGAGGAGATATAAATTGTGTCCACAAAACTTATACTCTTTTTTTAAGCACATGATTGGGTCATTAAAGCTTTGGTAAACCAACAGAACGGAACGCTACCGACGTGGGTTCTAGTCCCACCCGTGTCATCATTGCATTTCAAATACTTTTAACGTATTATTATTAAACTTATATTGACGTGTATCAGGAATTGACAAAATTATTAAAAAATGTGTGCCATAAACTACCGTTCTCTAACTGTATTCATGTCATTTACTATTTTAATTTGTTAAGGCTAATACAAACAGTGTGTTACAAAACTGTTTAACTATTCGGATGCTGGCTAGTCATTCCCCAAGTTACGTAAGTTCATTAATCTAAAAGCTAACTAGAAACGTCTAAACGACCGCAACCAAATAAACAGCTTGATTGCTGCAAGATCTAATTCAAAATAAGGTTTGAGGCACACATAGCTAGTATAACCTTTCTTAAACTTACTCATTCAATTGTAATAATAGAGCTATCTCTGTATCTTCATAATAATACGTCTTCACGAGGAAACCAGCATGTCTTATAATTAATGTTACATATAACTTGTATCATCAACACACTCTTGGCCTGTGTGGCAGATTTAGGTCTTTTAATCTAATCAAAAACTACATTTTGGCTGTAGACAATACAAAAAGGTTTTTTTTTTTAATTAGAGCTGTAGTCATTAGTTTGTTCATCAAAAAATAATTTATTATAATGCGATATAACTCATTTATATCGCAGTGTAATCCATTGTATTTTATCAAATTATGCAGAACTTATAGTTAAAATAACTGAGTTTCTAAACTATAAAGCCTATCATGATTGTAACAAATATTATTTCAGCTGCACACCAACAGCTTTGTTATAAAAAAAACACAATATAAAAAGCGGATCCTAGTTGCGCTGCATTGCAATGGAATACAAAATTTTACATTTGTTTAAAGTCACACAGAAAGGGAATAAATATGGTTTATTCAGATAGTAATTATTATCGTCTACGTGGTGTTATTTCTACGTATTCACTGGAAAAAATATCTTTATAAAAAGCGTGCTAAGGAGCATTGTTACAGTCATTTTGTTACCGTCAAAATTGCTTGACACTCTTCAATAGTGTGAAATTGGTTCTACTATATTGAAATATTGTTTTATTTCTAGTGGTATGTGACTATGTGAAAGGTACTTAAAGTTAATCTAATCCTCTTATGTAAGTTCACTCCTCGTTAGTACGATTTTTAATACCAATTCTTTAACATACAGATTTTGTAGAAGATTTTCTTTAAAAAACATCCGCGCACATATATCTCTTACATAAAGTATTACTACCATTTGTACAGTACTTAAATTAAATGCAAATTACCGTAATACCCGTATAACGTATGCTGTGTTTCGATAGTAGATACGCTTCCTAGGATGCGAATTTGTAAGTATAATTGACCATAAATCATCACTGGTCGAAATTACCTCCGAAAATTCTTTCCCGACACCCGCGGGAGCAACCAATTTGATTCGCAAATTGCAATCCGTCCCGTCGTAATTATATTCGCTTTTCGTAGGGTGACCATGACTATAAAGTATTTAAAAACTTTGTTTTACAACATTTAAACACTTAAGTGCGCAGAATCTCTGGAAATATTATTTGGTATGTAGGTTTTACATAAATGTAAAAGGACCAGTATTTTATGTTACTAATCGCTTTACAACATTCTTAATATCAAGATTCTAAATATTAACAAAGTACTTAATATACTGAACAAGCAACACTTATTAACTAAAAAATGTTTCAATATACAAAATGCGTGTAATAATATAAACTACGTACCAAAGAAAAGTTCTTAGGAAAATGACAGATACTTTAACTGTACATTGACGATAAATATCCAACCATCGTTTGATTACCCAAATCAAGATGATGATGTAAAAATTAACACATATTTCATACATTCCTTGTTATAAAATTTTGCAATAGACTAATAATCATGCAATCATAATTGCTTTCAATAGATACTCATAATACTGATTACAGGTATATGACCTTTACCCGAAGCATGGTCACCACATTTGCCCAGAATATCCAGCAGTAACGAGGGTCGATAATGAGAGGATGGCCATTTCATTTTAACTCTAACAGCTTTCGCAAATCACATTGCATGCTCATAGGTTTTGACAGATTATATTTCGAAATACTTTCTTCCACCGGAGACTCGTAGTGGGCAACCCTCCAAGCTGTTAACTGATTGCAACGGAACTCGCTTCTCAAAATAGTGTTGCCTGTTTAGGGCAGAGACCGTTTTTAGGTTAACAAAACGCTCTGTCAAATTGGAATGGATCGGACTTTTGTAATCGAGAGAGGTTATATTTTTAAGCTTTGCCTTGTACCGATATATTTTATTTGCTGGCACTATAGCAATTTTGATTGACATATTACAGACTATGGTCAATTAACAATAAACAAAAAAATAATTAGATACTTTTTTTATTAATTTTTAAGATATTTATTGAAAACAAAAATAAAGATTAGTCCGCTAGGTGTATCGACCTACGAAGGGAAACTAGTATAATATATACCGTTAGTCTCCCCGTGAACACGGCTGCTGCAAAGCATCCGAAACGTCGGGCCGAAGTTGGAAATCATTTTCAAATAAGTTTAACTAATATATCGCGTTTTAAACCCTTAAAACCTTTACCGTTAGTTCCCTTTACATAATATAATAAAATTATATATATATAAATAAAAATAAAATAATAAAGAAATATTGACATATAAAAAGTGAAAGCCCGTTTTCCCCTCGTGGGGCATGGGGCGAACACATTTCTGTGTCCATTTCATTGATCCGTTCTTTTAACGGGCAAGTAGTTGATCAGACTTCTGTGCCCTGCCCGAACGAAACAATTGTATGTTTCCCTGGGATGCGAACTCGGGACCTCTCGCGCTTAACGCAAAGCTAGGCTATACGTTTAACCATTTGGCTACAGAGGCGGAATATTGACATATAAAATTGTTTATTTTCAGATGACAACATAAAACAAAGACAGAAGCGCTTTTCTGACAGTCGGGTCGTTATAAATCAACATTTCACGGAAAGAACGTTAACACCCGGAGGCGACGTAAGTTTTGTTCTACATTGAACGAAATTTAATTCATAGCTATGTTTTATATCCATCATTAAATCAACTGCAAGCTCATAGTTAGGCTCTTTTTCGACTGCAAGCATAGCACAGACAATTCTAATGCTATACTTTAATCTAATAACTACTAATACTAGCTGTGCCCGCGACTTTGTCCGCGTAGAATAATTATATCGGGGATACTGTGTCGGACATTTTTTTCATTTTATTTATACCATTATCAAATAGAAACATTTTTTTTACTTTTCGTTTTTTTATCGTTTTTGCAACGTACGCAACGGAAGCTCTCAAAAAAGAATGATTTTCCCCGTTTTTCCACATTTTCCTCTGTATCTTCGCATTGATCGCAGCCTGAATTATACCTTAATGCCGTCTTTGATACATGGTCTAAAATGAATATAAATCAATTCGAACCAGTGGTTCCTGAGATTATAAGTATAGATATATCTAATTGCAAATGCTGATAGCTCATACCGCAATAATTTATAGCTTAACGTAAATAACGTGGCAATAATAAAGTATGTATTTTCTACTATTTCTAAAGTATTAACTGTAAGTGTTTATAAACGTAATCAAAATTGTTATTAGTAATTGTTGTGGGTAGTTTTGGTTTTTAAATGTTATATTAATTTAAATATAACACTTTAACGGTTTAAAACGCGATATATTAGTTAAACTTATTTGAAAATGATTTTTAACTTCAGCCCGACGTTTCGGCTGCTTTGCAGCAGCCGTGGTCACGGGGAGACTAAAGATGGACGATGTCTCTGACGTCAAAGTAAAAAATTGCTACGCTAGCGCCATCTGTTCCGTCGAAGTTGGTATTTGGCGAAACTGGCCGGGTCCTTGCAGAATTGACTAACGTTTTAAACCGTTACAGTGTTTTATTTAAATTTGTACTACTCGCGTAAACTATAGACAGTATTTAAGTTATATTAACTTGATATTGTGTAATCAAATTCTAGATACATAATATTTTTATATGTTTGATCTAGAGTTCTCTTGCATTCTCTTTTATGACATGTCTTTGTATGAGAAACACTTGATATCATAGGTCAGTCTACAATGTGCAGCGATAGCGGACAGACCTCCCCAGTTCACTTGGCAAAGAGACGGTCTCATAATATCCAGCAGCACAGATTCTCGGTGAGTTTTATAGACACTAGCTGAGATCGCGACTTCGTCCGCGTCGAATAGTTATAACAATTCTAGATGGCTACCTATAGAAAACTTCGTTCGCTAATTATCTATATGACGAATACAGTAGAGTTAAATGCAAGGTTAGTATATGAAATAATTTATTTATTTACTATTAGGCTACCGTATAATCAGTAAATCTTGAATTTAAAAAAAATCTATTTAACGGTTTAAATCGTGAAAAATATTAGTTAATTTATTTCACATTTATTTTAACTTCAGCCCGACGCATATATTTAGCGTTTAAACCGTTAAAAAGTGTTGTATTTAAATGTGTACCAACTACTAACTAACTTTGTATGTGTAAGATTAACTTCTTTTCTTATTTTCTGTCTAGATACGCTTTGGGTCAAATCATGAGGCCCGATGGAACAGTACTAGCCCAGCTAAATATATCCAGATTAAGAGTGGAGGATGGTGGTCTCTACTCGTGTACAGCAAAAGAAAGTGATCAAATAGCTGTGCATGAAAATAGACTGGACGTTTATGGTGAGTATCTAAATTCTAGAAGATAAAAAGTTTATGTGTAGAAAAAATCTTATGATAAAATCTATTTAGATTGAAAAAAATACGACACAAGGGTGGTTTGAACAGGCATCTACAATGCAACGTACTGCTTTAAGACAGTAATTATTGGCCGGGGCAACAGTATGGAACGCTGTGGATGCCGTTTCAAATTCCGCCTCTGTTGCATTTGTTTTCAATCTAAATATATTTTTAATTTATGTAATGCCATCGTGTGCAATAACATTTTAAAAATATTAAAGAGTGAATCCTGTTATATATTGCTATATTTTTTTATGTTTCAGGGCCACCATACATAAGAGCTCTTCCTCCAATTAAGGTACAAAGCGGTGAATCCCTGAACCTAAGGTGTCCTTATTACGGATATCCCATAAGGTAAGTTATTTTTTTACAATAAACAACAAGTTGTACGTATCATTAACATCGTATCCAGTATGTTCAAAATTCATTTAATTGTTAATTAAACTATAATTAATATTTGAAAATTCTGGACTTTAAATTGATGGTAGTGTTACATAATATCGTAGAGTCGACGTTAAAATGTCAAAGTTCTGTCCGGATCACGAAATACCTTCTACAGATAGAAGAACCTGTTGATATAGCTTAACAGCGCATATCGATGATACTGTCTGTAGTTTACGCGGTTAATACACATTCTAAAACACTTTAACAGCTTAAAGTGCGAAGTATATTAATTAACCCAATTACATTTTTTTAAACTATGGCTGTTTCGGATGCTTTGCAACGGCCGCGGTCACGAGGAGACCATTGTAATAATGATGTTACAAATCGGAGCATCTTCTATCAAGTGATCTCTATCCTAATCTACTATTATTAAATGAAATTTTGTAACTTTCAGCAAAATCGATTGGGAATACAAGGGAAAGACGATAACATCGAACAACTTATTTCCGAACAGATACAAACGGAGTCAACGTAGAAAAACCCATATCAATGGAAACCGACGTAACACGATGCATCTAAAACGGAAGCCACGCAGCGCCGCTAACATCCACGGCGTTCTTACCATACCGGAAGTCTCGAAAGCTAATAACGGTGCTAAATACACCTGTACTGTAACAAGTCCATCAGGGGAGATGGCGAGACGAGATTTCGACATCAAAGTCATAGAAGCGCCTATATTAGATGATCTTCTACTGGGAAACAACTTGCAAGAAGGACAGGTGGCTAATATCTATTGTAACGTCAGAACGGGTGATCTGCCGATACATTTCGAATGGCTGAAAGACGGGAAGAGGATTCCTAATAATTTGAAGGTCATTTTTAATTGTGTTTAACTGTGTAAAACTTGAATTTATTTTATAATCTTGCTAAATGCGTTAAAAAGTTTTCAGTAACGTAGCAGTCGTGTGTTTAATATATAATTTTTGTTTTATTCTTTCCTAGCTTAAAATTTTAATGTTTCAAAAGATACACTTACTAAAATATGGCTTAAATTTTAAAATACTTTAAAAACTTGAGTCATATTCTAGTAAGTGTATTTTTTCATTCATATTTATTAAATACTTTAACTATATGCTAAAATTAACACTCACAATAAATAAAAGGTATATGAAGTTAATAGATAATACTATTAAATAAAACTCTTTAACGGTTTAAAACACGATATGTATTAGTTAAACTTATTTAAAAATTATATTAACTACGGCGTAGAGTTTCGTATCTTTTGTAGCAGCCGTGGTCTTAACTAATAAATTTCGCGTTTTAAGCCATTAGTGTTTAATTTAAATGTGCACTACTCGCGTAAACTACGGACAGTATTTAATTCATATTTTTTCAACAGGTCGTAGAACGTAGTTCAGAGTTATTCAGTGCGTTGGTAATCAAAAGTGTTGCCCTAGAACACTGCGGTACTTACACTTGTGTGGCGACGAACCATGTGGCTACAGTCAATAAATCAACAGAGTTGTACATAAAAGGTAAATAGCTAATACACGTTTTCATTTTAGTCACAAAGTATTTTGAAAGCCCTGCATCAAATCTACTTTCGCTAAAAAATCAAACAAGAATATAAAGTAAATATTGCATTTCTACGGTAGCAAACAACATTGTACTTCATGATTCAGTTAAGAGCCCTGTAATATAATCGTGACTATATGTTGTAACTAGTAATTTATTTTTATTTTTACTATTTTTATGTCAAAGATCTTTTAGCATGCTTTTTTCTTCTTTGTAACCTATGGATCATTTAAGATGTTACAAAAAGTTTAGTCTTTTGTACGTTGTAATATGTTAACAAGGTTTAAAAACAGAAAATTTCTTCCAACTGTAAGTACTACAATACAAATTCATTCATTCACTTCCAGTTTCACCTAAATGGTTGTTGGAGCCAGCAAACTCATCTGTAGTTCTTGGTAAGCGCGGTAGTGTCTCTTGCAGTGCAACCGGTTATCCCATGCCACAAGTCCACTGGATGAAGAAAGATGGTGAATAATATTTTTTATATATTCCATTATCCCTTGTAAATGTGCTCTAAGACCCGAAAAATGTTTCTTTAGAATTTAGTAGATGTAGACCTATATCAGGTTAAACACTATATTTGCCCCACCCGACTAAGACCCGAATGTTCACAAATGTAATGAATAAATAAGTACCTTGTTCTTTATTTCATCTAAACGAAAATGCCTTCTAAGATCTGTTCTATCATTCAATATATTTGATAAATTCATTTCCAGCAATTCTAGGAACTTGGCAGCCGGTACTAGAACTAGCTGGTGGGGGTATCCTCAGTCTAACAAACGGAACTCTAGTTATAGACGAAGTCTCTTTATCCGATGAAGGACTATACTCCTGTAACATTGAAAACGGCGTCGGAACACCACTAAGCAAAACTATTTGGATCACTGTAAATAGTTGGTATTTAATTCATATGTATTTTTTGGGTTCTTGAACCGTTTTGGCAAAAGGACGCATAGGAAACCAACAATGTTGGATATTTTTCCCTTTTTTACATTTCCTGCTGTTTCTTCGCTCCTATTAATCACAGCGATCTTTTATAGCCTAGCCTTCCTTGATAAATGCTGTAACTAACACAAAAATCATTTTTGATTTCGAAAATTATATTTATAATTTAATTATAAAATATATTTTACTTCTTCAGAACCAGTTCATTTTGTTACATCTTCGCCAAATGTTACATCGCGAGCGGGACTTCCCCTCTCGATGCAGTGTATTGCAAGAGGAGATGAACCCATCCAAATAGCTTGGACTCTTAATGGAAATAATATTGACTTTCGTAACCACAGGTAACAATTTATTCAATTCAATTATTTTAATTATCACAACAATAACAGTAATGTTCTTTATCTTCGAAAATTATCCTCTTTTCAGATTAAAACACTCTGAAGTTAAGTCCTCATCTGCTGTTACTAGTTCCATTAATATAAATTTTGCAGAGACGAGAGACGCCGGAGTATATACATGCAAAGCAAGCAACCCCTATGGCATGGCTACATACAATCTCTATATTCATATCTTGGGTATGACAATATGTATTAAAACTTGCTGCCCCCTTGTTTATTGGAAGCAATATCTTTATTGTTTACAAAAAAAGTTTTAAACAACGGTGGTTATGTTCATCAGCTCTCACATTACGATTTGGGATCCAATCTTCTTTAATGCAATAGCAATAATAACACAAAGTTTTAGTACGTAATATATAATATATGGTATTATAAAAATATAGGTGACAATAATAGGATAAAGAAATCCTGATATAAATATACTGTTAATATTTAATTTAAATCTATAAGAACTAGTAATGATGTATTTTTTCAGAACCACCGACTCCTCCTTCCGAATTGCGTATTGAGTCTGTTACATCGAGATCAGCGATTATATCCTGGCGAGGCAGCTCCGCTCAATACACTTTACAACATGCCCCAGCAAATGCAAAGTGGGACGCAGCAGATATTATTAATATCACCAGGTCTCCCATCCCATCATTTGATATACACTGACGTTACAAAAAGTAAAACAAATAAAAAAATATTTTATTTCCAGCAAAGAGAATGAGATTCGTCAAGTATTTAAGCTCCAGAACCTTCGTCCGGCTACCTCATACTCAGTTCGCGTTGCCACAGTTAATCAAGTTGCATTGAGTCACTTTACCGAACCTGTACACTTCAATACAGAAGAAGAAGGTATGTATTTCACTCTTTCAATAACTTTCATATTTGAGAAAGCATTTGCAAATTTCTTTACCTGACGTACTAACGAAGGCGAAAACACACGATGCATAAAAAAATAATGACTAACTAATATAATTTTATAGCTCCATCGTCAGCGCCACAACAAGTACGTGTATCGCAAACAGAAGAACCGGGGGAGTTGTTTCTAACGTGGTCGCCACCAGATAAAGAAACGCATAACGGTCACATAACGGGTTATCATATTAAAGCTGTTCCTCAGAACATTGGAGTTGGTAAGCGGCTTATAAATTTTAACACCCAAGATCTCCTCGAACGCGTCTTAATTTGAAAATGCACGTAAATGTTTTCAGACGACGCGGAAATGAGGACATTGAAAGTTTCCCAGCAAAGTGGAAAACAAGAAACAACTGTTAGAGGACTTTTAAAGAACACCAGGTACTCAACATGTCTAAATTGAAAAGTTCTTAAAAGTAAAAATAACTGGAGATATGATTATTCATTTCTTAATAATGTAATTGCAGATACGCTGTCTCTATAGCCGCATACAATAGTGCTGGTTCAGGTCCCTTTTCAGTGCCAGTTTTTCAGGAGACAAAAGCTGGAGGTAATCTTAATACCCTGTTTCTTTAGTCTACTGTAAAATAGATATCTTTATATCATAACATTCAATATTCTAGCACCGGAAAGCGCACCATCTTCAGTCGAGTGTACAGCAGTGTCTCCGACATCACTGAGATTAGGATGGCAACCACTTCTTAAAACTGCTGAATTACTTGGTTACACCGTGCTTTACGCGACTGATGGTAATGTCAAAACTTACAACTATGAAATAACTATATTGGTACTTACTAAAAAATCTTACTGTTTACAGAGAGTGCTTGGCATAATACGTCAGCTGTTCACACTGAGCTATATCTACAAAATTTAATGAAATACACAAACTACACTATTAAAGTAGCTGGATTTTCTAGTTACGGCGTTGGGCCTTTTTCTTATCCTATTATTTGCGCAACTTTGGAAGATGGTAAGTTTTTATACTGTCTAATAACAAGGGCGAGACAAAAGATTCAATTCCTATGTTTTGGATGTATGTTACTCAGTATTAAATAGGTTTTATTTATACCAGTTCCCGGACCGCCCGCAGATATCAAAGTTCTGGTTTTGTCACCGACGTCTTTGCTAGTTAGCTGGAAGTCTCCGGATAAGCCAAATGGAGAAATACTCTATTACACAGTTTACGCTAAACCTATTGGACTCAGGTATGATAACAATAGATATACTAAATATAGACTACAGTAAGATAAAATGTAATTACCGTTAAATGTCATGAATATATAATATGTGAAAAATAAGTGGAAAACACTATATACATAAAAAACCGCATTACATCTTTAAATTTATTTAGTGGCGGTGTAACATCAAGTCAACGGATAGATGCAAGTCGCAGTACAGCTGAAGTAAAAGACTTGAGTGTATCTCGCACGTATGAGGTGTGGGTTTGTGCAACTACCAGAGCAGGAGAGGGAAGGCCCAGCAAGCGGCTGAGTCAAATGCCTACGCAGAGAGGTATGTCTACATTTAATTATTTGGACACTTCAAAATTACACATACTACGACAATGAAGAACAGAAGAATAATGTTATAAACTACTACATATTTTCGTTGTTTGCCCCCAGTTGTAGCTGGAATATCTTCGCTAGGAGGAACAATATCAGTTGGAGCTGGTTCTTCTCTGCTATTGAGATGTGAATGTGTAGGATCTCCAGCAGCCCGCACCGTGTGGTATCACAACCACAATATTATTACACACCATCCAAGATTTACAAGAAACCATGATGATAGTCTGCTTATTAATAGTGAGTTAACATCATTGACACATACCACCTCATGCCCAAGAGGGGACACTCACTTTAACACCATTACTTTAATTGAAAGTGATCCACGACAAGGCTGATGTAGAGTTCAGAATTTTGGTTAAGAATTATAACTGTCTCTGAAGTGTGAATTTGTGCTTTATATCATGACGACCTATGTTCTCTTTTTCAGACATAGATCAGTCACTAAGCGGGAACTATACCTGCTTAGCCAAAAACTTGTATGGTTCTGATTCTGTCGAGTACACAGTCATTGTACTACCATTACCAGAACCGCCGGTTTTACGTGCCACTCCTTATAAGGACTCTATTCTCATCGAATGGGAACAACCTAATTACTCTGCTAATAGAACATTAGGACAGAAAATATGTAAGTCTATGAGAAACTTGATTAATACACGAGCAGAACTCGAATTCAGGATCATCAGCGTCCATGTCGTTGCTCCAGCAAATTCGAATTAATTTTTGAAAGTAATATTTCAAATGATTTGGAACTTTACAAATTTTATTACTTTCATTAGTCTCCTACATACTTTTGACTTAATGTCGTACTGTTTTATCGACAGCGTACAGCCTAACCTGGAAGGAGGCTAATGGACCATGGCAAGAGTCGTGGTCACCTGATGAATTACCAGATCTTTCTGATAAGCTACCTAATAAATCGGTACAGAAGTATCTCCTGACTGGCCTAAAGTGTGGAACAAAGTACTCCATAAGAATAACTGCGTCTAGTAAAGTTGGGACATCCCAGCCAGCTTATATGGAAACGAGTACTTTGGGAGGAGGTGACTATTTTTTTTCTTTTATTTAATATAACTAGAGTGCTAGTGCACCATTGGTATCTCTGATTCGTTTTAAATAAAAATAATATTAGTAACATAACTTCATTCTTGTTCTTCCACCTACTTATTTCTAACAATCTATTCTATGTATCCAATACATAAATTAATGTAAAATATTAGTAAAAAAAGGAAAAACTATTTCTTTTTTATTTATTAACAATGTTTAGATAAAAAATATACCATACAAACAAATTCTATTAAACGTTGATCACACCGGAGTTATTTAGCACTCCTTGATATGTTCACAGTTCCAATACCACCAGCATCCAATGAATGGTTATGGAGTAACAGTTCCCATATGTATATACAACTAGCGGGGTGGGAAGAGGGCGGTTGCGATATGCGAACTTGGGACATTGAGTACAGGACACTTGGCTCTAGAGTTTGGACAAAGGCCAGAAATACCTTGGTAAATGCTTATTAAATGTATCCATTTCAGATTTAATATCCTCGAACATATTATTTACTACATAATGTTTTAAAAGGGCAAATACACTGCCTCCATTTTGTGTCCTGTTTGACCATCTCCTTATTTCTTGTGAATTCAAACCCAACCGATCCGTCTCGCACTTTACGCAATGCTAGCAACACTTCAAATATTAGGTACAGGAGCGGTTTCTGTTTATATGTTTGTGTATAAAAAAAATAAAATTCTACTTATGGCAAATCGAGTCCTGGAATTTAGAATAAATGTTTGGCTATTGTTTTAAAATATATTATTTTCTAAAGCTACTCGTATCTCGTACAAACACAAAATTAATATTTTGCAGATGTACTCGGATACAAGCTGGGATCTGCCTATGTATCAAGGAAGCTATCGTTCTAGTTCCTTCGCAATTTCCGACTTATCGCCTGGAACTTGGTACCAGGTCCGCGTAACAGCAACGAATGAAGCTGGAAGCGTCAGCAGCATTTATAACTTCGCTACGAAGAACTTGGATGGCAGTAGGCATATTTACTCTTATTTTATACTACATATTTAAATCTTTAGATTATTGTTCTTAGGCTAGATAAATTTAGCAATTAGTAAAATACAAATTGTTAGAAAATTCACCAAAACCATTTTCTAATAGCGTGTGACATATAGCGTGTGATATATTTATATTTATATATTTTCTTTAAAATCCCGATGTTTAAGAATTTGTCACTTCTGGTTACAATTAAAGGAAAATATTTTCCTATTAAGGATAAATAATAGTCAGGAGTGGTGGATAAATAATTAAGGAAGTGTCATTATTGATCAGGGTATTTGCTGGTCTTTTAAAATCTCAGAACATAAAATATATTGTCTATATGATTACTATTTTAGGTGAAGTCGGGCCTCTCTCGGATGTGTTAGATTTGAACATGTTGGTGATTATCTTCAGTTCTATTCTTCTAGTTGTGTGTCTCGTCTGCTGTGTGTACATTCTACTTATGCGACAGAGGTGAGGGCGTACATAAGTATTCTTAGTTAGTACAAGAATTTGATGCATTTAAGTATGTATTGTACCACTTAAATACGTGGTCTAAAACGGTGTAACCATTAGAAGTGTTTTCTTTTTATATATCGTAGGAGTTATTGACCCCTTTTAAAACCTTTTAACATCTTGTATTTGGTATAATTTCGTGCTGAATAACGTTGAAGACAGAGTATTTTAAATAATGTGGTAAATACACATTTTTTTTCTTATATCACTATTAAAGGTAAAATAGAGTAGAGGTACATTTTAATTTATCTTTTAACAGAAGCGGTACTTTCATAGAGTATAGAGACTCTATAACTATAGACAATAAATCGGAAAGCGGAAACATGGCGGATGCTACGCATGGTAATTTGGCGGCAAAGGAAAATGCACTAAATGCGCAAAACAGAATTTACAGTACACCGATTCCGGTTAGAAATAATAGTAAGCATGGTAAGTGTTAGTGGCTATATTTAATAATCATTAAATATTAATATAATATACATATATTATAACTAGGCGTTGATTTGTAAAAAAAAACAAATCTGAATGTTAAATAGGTGACAGAACTATCAAAACTCCGTCCGAGCCACGAAGTGCCGTCCACAGATTTCAGTTGTGGATTTCCGAATATCCAAAGTCAAAATAGGTCCACAGTGCATCTTGTTAAGTTGTTATATGGCTGGTGTATTTTGCATTCCATCAAGTAAATCCTACGCTTATATGTATGCCATCCTTTCTCATAAAAAAACTTGCATTTTAAAATTTCAGAGCTGTATGAAATAAGTCCGTACGCCCAATTTGCTGTTGGCTTCAGGACCTTTGGACATGTGGAAAATCAGGACATTCCGAATGGACATCGAAAACATCGATTTGATTCTGGTAATATTACCGTCTTCGTTGTCATCACTTTTTGTCAATTCAAATAGATTTTATATTTATATAATGGACTATCTGACAATGCGCAATTAACGTTTAGCGAGCAATTTATATGTTAGATTTTAGATTTGATATATTTCAGCAAATATGTATCAGATTAAAAAAAATACATTTCTCTGGGGTTCCTTTACAACTAACAAAATATAAAGTACATTTTAATTATAAAAATCAGTAATATAGACCAATATGTGTCAAGTGTTTTTTATTGTTTCAGAAACAAGTTTCCAAATGTGTTCCGAGTCGGAGGATAGCGACACAATATCTAAGAATACATTAAAAAGCATTCCGAGAAGTAAATGCTCAAAAGGTTTGTGACTTGTTATTGGTAAGAGCAAAATTATGATGTTAGACTAGTAGGACATAGGTATTGATTCCTAAGCAGTTTCTGGAGTTTACTTTTAACGATTTTAAACGTAACATACTTTAGTTAACTTATATACGGCATAGCATCCGTAACATCGACCCATAGTTAAAATAAATGAATTAAACTAAACTAAATTCTTCATTATTATGTTTTGTGCAATAAAGAATATATAAATAAATAAACTAAATAAATGAGTTAACTAATATAATTTGCGTTTTTAACCGTTAAAAGTGTTTAACTTAAATTTGTTGTTACTTCTTGAGAGTTGAGAATTTTGTTTTGAAGCAATAATTTAAAAAAAATATTCAGAATCCTTTCGTATTTTCTTTTCAGAACTTTGCCGAACGCCTCATTACAGATAACCAGGGACTTCTTTTTTTAATAATTCTATTGTATTTTAATAGCCAATACGAGAAGATTTTTCTACATATATTATTCCGAATTGAAGTTCTTTTGTTTTAAAGACTACAGATAATTGGAAAAAAATATTGGCCTCTGTGTATATATATATAATATTATTTATTTTATATTTTTATTATTATTTTATTTGTTATTTGCTATTTTTGTTTTTTTAGAAAAAAAATTAGATGTCGTAGAAACTTTTTAACAGTTGCCAAAATCAGTAAGTATTTCCATATTAGAATTAAATTAGATTCTTAAACATTTAAAAACCAGTTTTAAATGTTTTTTTTCATTGTAGCTATTATGTTCGTTTAAAAATCTATTAATTATTAGAATAACTACCTTACGTTACAATGCAACTATTATATTATTGTAAATAATATTTGATATTATAGTGGGAAACATAGTTTAGCGGTAGATAACTTCGTGTACAAATTGGAATCTAAGTTCTGCTGGATTTAGATACTATTAAATTTGATTTTTTATAACACTATTGTTAATCTTCGAAATTACAAGACTGAATATTTATCGTCTTTTATAAGTTTAGTGTTAATATCATTGTATGATTAATTTTTAATAAAATATGATTATTTAGCACATTTTTTATTTGACATTTTCCCAATGTTGCCTCGTTCGATAATAATTAAATAAATAAATGCTGTAGACTAAGTAAAATAATACAAAAACTATTACCATATTAATTCCTGCTCCACTTAACTTTCAAATTAATTAATACTTAAATTTAACTGTCAAAGCTGACAATCTGTCAACAAGTCGCTATGAACTGTCAAAGTGTCAGTTGCGCGACTGTTTCCATTATTGTCCACTACTGCATCCAAACATCACCTGTGGTGTTACCACTGACACAATGGGGACCTCGAGGTCGATTCATCAGATCCGTCATATCAAATCTAGCATGAAAATAAATTGATTTAGTATTTAACCCCTATTATGACCCGATTTAAATAAGCAACATGCTAGCACGGAGTCCACTAATACTAACTCTTTCGGGCGAGTATTTGCGGCTAGACTAAGGGTGCTCCGAGATGGCATGGGTCGCAGCAATGGGGGTTGAAGCTTGAAGAGTTGGACGGATGATCACCTGAGTGAGGAATAGGCGAAACACGGACTTCCTTTTCGTTCGTTGGATTGTAGATTATTAGTATAGGTTAGGATTCAAAACTAAAACTTGATCCCGATTACCCTATTGTAATCCTCGGCATATTCTTCAGTAAATTGTTTGAAGAAAACAAAGTCATTGCGACAATATTAATTTATTTCTATCAATCGGTCAGTTTACAGTGTCATGCGCAATTAATACGTAAACAAACTACTCTGCTTCCATCGGCAGGCCCTACCTTATACAAACCTACCAAAGCATAGAAATACAGTCACCATAGAAAGATTTACAAAGATATGTTTTATATTAAATTACACACCTAAAACATACTTTTAATATAAACATGCGTAAAGGAACGAGCTGTCTATGATACTATAGTCTATTGAATGGCTTAGTAGAAATCGGCTTTGGAATTATTTTATCTATGAGTTGAATTTTTAAACGATGTAACTTAAATCACACATGATATATATTGATGTAATGCTCTGAATGTTGTTTGCGGTTCTAATAAATTAGCTACTATAAAAAAAAAACTTTAATAAGAGGCTTAGAACTTTGTTATAGACGACTCTGGTTTGTCGAAAACTCGTTTGAATATCGTCCACAAAATGACAAAACTACGTATTTTCATCTAAATCAAAATCATATAAATATATTGCTTCTAAATACATATATAAATATATTCTGCTTAAGTAAAATACTGTAAAGCTGTGACAATACTCAAACTACGTTGTCGTAGTTTAAAGATAAATAGAATCTAAGTTTTGTATACATGGAATGGCTATAAAGTTGCTTAGATATAGAACTTTGTAGAAACGATAAATACAATTCTAACCGTCGAAAACTGTTCTATTAGTACTTGTGTATATTGTTATGTCACCTTCTATTCTACTAATTCGATACGTCAGTGTAAATAATCTTCTACAATCCCTCCTTATAAACGTGGCTTTATGTTTTGTCTTTATCACGCAAATATAATTTAAAATTTGAAGAAGAGAGACAAAACATAAGTTAAAACACGTTTATAGTAAAGGCAGACTATCTAAACGCTAAGAGAATTAAAAAACAGTTTTGTATGAAGTTGTAAAATAAAATTCTTTCAAAAAAAAGCTTTCTTATTATCGTTATTGATTATATAAATTTGATAGAAACATCGACAACATTTTTTTAGAAAAGCTTAATTTTAGTCTAATTTTAAAGGACGCATTAGAGATATGATTATAGACACCGATATGTTAGAGAACATTCATCATAAACAGATAGCGAATATTTTTAATTTTTAAAAAGGAATGAACGCCAGTAACTTTGTGATCAAAACAAGATGCGCCGTCGGCCTATTTTGGCTTAAGACATTTATTTTAAATCTGTAATAAAATTTTATCCCTTTACCTTCTAGACACATATTCAAAATTTTCTGCCACTAATAAAATGAATCGCATCATTCTCATTATTGATTTTAAATTAAATTGGCTTCAAACATTTTATAAATATTAATAAAAAAATCAAAATATTAATAAAAAAAAAACCGACAAATTACACTTAGTTATAATTTTACTTAATTACATCTACCTCTCCGAATGAAAATCTCCCATCTCTTTCTAAAGTACGGTATTAAAACGGACAGACAAGAAATCGTTCCGATTTAAACGTTTGAAATCAATTTACCTAGCGATTTCGATATAAATACAGATTTGGCGAACATCACTACGCGATACAATATACAAACTCTAGGGTTGCAATAAATTATCGTTAGACACGTTTACAATTAATATTATCGATAGTCGTGTGTTAAGTCTTAATCTACTATAACAAGCATTCGTTTTAATTACATATTGTCGTAGTGAACATTTCAAAGCGACTACAAAATGAATTTTGGTATAGATAATATTTTAACATGTTATATGATTATCGTCAAAATCTTAGTGGTGTACCTTAGTCGATAAAGGACGATGTTTTCGCATATAAATAATTACTAACTCAGCGTATTTTCGGTGCTGACCTATCGTTGCACAGTTTATTTCGTCGTAGTGTTGCACCGCGTTTGATTTGCTCCATTAGTGATGTGTGACACACGCGCGGATCCGGCTGAAATTTTAAATAATGGTTCAATTGATTGTTTTGTACAAAACAAACCTGTTAACTAAACGAAATGGAATTTAGTCTTTAGTTAGATAAGATAATTGAGTTTACAGTTTAGTCACCTGACATACACATAACAATTAATTAAATGTGGTGATTGTATACTGCCTGTAGTTTACGCGAGTAGTACACATTTTATAAACACTTAACGGTTTAAAACGCGAAATGTATTAGTTACATTAATTTTAACAGCAGCCCGATGTTTAGGATTGCCTTGCAGCAGACGTGGTCACGTTTTAAATAAGACATTTCGCCATAAAACCCGTTAATGTGTATTATTTATATGAGATGATTGTAAATATTATTTAGTCAGAGTTAAAGTATAAACTAACAACAGAGAGTTATACCTAGATGAAACAGTCTTTTCAATAGTTCTATATATATCATTACATAACTGAAGTGAATACGTAACAACATTTTAAATTTACGTTTTTCTCATAAAGACAAGTCATAGTCAATATCAAGTATTTAACAGTGATTATTGTTAGATTACCTGCGCATGCGAGTTGATGAGATCTCTAACAGTACTGGCTCTAGTGGTAGAAAGCTGCCTTCGTTGGTTCTGAATAGTCGCTGACAACTTGTCTAGGAACGCGGGCTGTATGGCGGTTGGCACCGCTGGAACAAGAAAAATATCTATCAAATTCTAAGAGAAAAAATATAGATGATATCGAACCACCGTCCAGAGGTAAAAAAAAACCGTAATGTCAAAAGTAAAGCATCGCTTTGAGATTGCATCTTAATTGGCTTGGGTATTTCATCTTCAATTATTTGAACCAAACCTGAAGTTGACAAGTTGAAACTAACATGTCAGCATTTTTTTTTCGTTTTAACTTGTATATTACCTTTTGCTTTATGTGGTTCAGCTTGTGTGATAGTGGATATCGCTCGACGGCCCGTCCTAGGTGATAGTTGAGGGGCAAGCTTCGCACTCAAACTGGCTATTAGACCACTTGCTGTAAAATAAATCTTACTTTAATAAAGGCCATATCTATATGACGGGACGCTGTCGGATGGCGTCAAAATAAACGCCTCTTAGTACGGTATAAAGGACTATTCAAACAGTCCAAAAGAAAAACTAAATAAATTTAGGAAAGCAGTAAGTACATATAAGTAATACAGCGTAACTTATAATGTGACAGAAAGTACGTGACTAATATTGATTCTGAATAAGACTCAATCGCTTTACGTTTAGAACGAGACTATTGGTGGGCACGAGACTGTGTCCCACCACGAGTAATCCCTCTCCACGTTATTTTAAAATAACAAGTTGTCAATAACCGTCTGTCATCTCTGACATGACAGTTTGTTAAATGTCAATGCTACTATATTGACCAACGGCAACTCACAAGTGTTCCTTGACGTTTCCGCATACCCGTATAGGTGTTAAACAGTTTGTTTAACAGTCAATTTGATTAGCAAATACATAGCAGCTGCAACACGGTAATAATGACATCTTTCACGTCCTCGTGTAAGTCAGTTCGTTCACCCGGTTTATAAGAAGTCCTGGAGTTAGTAAATTTATTATTAAATATTAAACTTACTTGGTGCGTGTCTATCCGCACTGTGGGAGCGAGTAGACCCATGCGCAGCTGTTGGCTGTGCGTATATCCCACCTAGCGCATAGCGAGATTCCTGCTTAAGCTTGAAACCTATAAAAATTAAGTATATTTATTTTTATTTTTTTACACATATATGCACTGTCATAACAGGTTGGATCCCAATGTATTAAGGTACAATCAAATTCTTCAATACAGCGAGTAACCAAAGATATATTTGTGTTAAAAATGTTTAGCAAAAATACAGGTCACTCGACAGATTAGAGCAGTTTATTTTATATTCAAATATGACAAAGTTTATACCGCTTTTCCAGAAAGTGAATACTTGTCTGTCCTCCACTATCATACAAAAAAATACACGGACAAACGTACCCGTCTGTCCGTAGTGCGAATCGTTGTGAACCCGCGGTCCAAAACTTGAAAACGAGTTTTCTCCAACACTTGGTGTTGACGGGGTGGAAGCTTGAGATTCATTTATCTCTCCATACATATTATTACCTGAAATGTTAAAATACTATATGTATTCATATAACCTAATATAATAAAATATATATTTAAGGAGCTGGCTACATATTTTATGTAACTGCAATAGAGATTATAAATTTAATTATTTAGTATTTCCATAGCCTAGATTGCCCTATAAGGGTAAAAAAAGTTGTAATAAATAAAATAAATACCTTTAAAAGATATTGAACTATCACAACAATTGCATTTACTACATTTTTTATGCGGTATTTCATACCATATTTTAGCAAAAAAAAAGCAATAAAATTCTAAATATTAAAACACACTCACTAGTATTGCCATCTCTAAAAAGATCAGAATGCGAGCTGTTCAAGCTATTCTTCCTCGCATAAATAGAATTCTCGAAATCTACAATTCTATGCCCTGTCTGACCGTAAATAGGGTTCAAATTTCCACTAAAGTTGCTCTTTGCTTGCTGGAACGTGCTCAATTGATTCTGGTCGAAATTCTGGTTCTGTAGCTGGGCAACATTTTGATTTTGGTGTTGAGTGAGATTCTGATTAATTTGGTTCTGGTTTATCGTTCGTCGCAACAGTCCGGGCGACGCTGGCATGTGCTTCAATTCGGTCAGCTGTTTCACCGTCTCTGCTACGTTTATGCCTGGATGTGCTAAAATATTATATTTCAACTTACTACGATTGTCATAAGTTTAATAACTAAAATTAATTGTTTTTTATCAATAAGATCTGATCTGTCTTGTTTGAAATAATGAGAATTGGTAACAGGAATATGTGGCAGTCAAAAAAAATCATAAGAAAAGCTAAGGACACTATGATAAATTTTATTTCTGAATTTTAAAGATTTTCTTTCTAAAAGTAAGAATCAATTTATCCTTATTTTTAAAACCTACATGAATTAGCGTCTTGGTCGGGCTGCAGAAGGAAAGCCGGCGGCGGAGGCAAGTTATCAGCGTCGCTCGTGTTTACTTGCTGACCTTGAACGTTACCCTGAAAAATGGAAAATAAAAAAGTTCATACCAATATTCAATGTGGCCTATTTTTAATAAAGAATATTAAAATATAAAGACAATTATAGCTTTTTTATTGTTTTCAGCAGATATATTTACGTGTCTATATTAATATTCGATTCCATTTGCAGACAAGTAGCTAATGATACTCATTGCAAAGTATTTTATATCTTTTGTAAGTGTTCAAAGTTCATCCAGGCAGTCTTGTACAAATTAAGATGGGATGATGATGCACCTTAATTGGCCACTGATTCTCACCTGAACGTAAGGTCGCTGCGGTCTCGATATAGACGAAGACCTTCGTACTGGCGGAGGAGGCTTGCCCACCGAACTCGAGGATCCGCGCCGTGACCACACCGTTGGTGCAGCTGAAACACCATTATAAGGAGGTTATTACATAAAAGTGACAGCTAGTATTCATTTTAGAACTTGTATAAATTACTTATAACATTATTTCAAATAAATAATGGTACTGTGTCAAACTTCGAGCACTCCGTTCCGTGCTTTTACTGTGCTCTATTTATCTAACGTGTGTTGTCCATCAGAAATTGATTTTTAATGTGTAAAGCTAACACATGAAAAATATTAAGTAAATATTTCTATAAACATATATTATATACTAATATCACATAATAAAAGGACCGTCTGATTAGTTGATATTACTGGCTAATGGAAACTACAATTTTGCTTTCTATAAAGTCTAATTTGTGCTACTTTGGCTGACCAAAAAAACCAACAAAACAATAAAAATATTTTACGATTAGTACGAGCTTTAAATACTATGTATATAATTTCCCTAAGTAGAAAGGAGCTGTGTAAAACCAGTTTTTAAATAAAGAACATAACAAAACACGCCACTTACCATTTCAGCTGGATTTACCTATACGAGGCTGCTAAGGCATCCCACACACGCTACGACTAAACTCACCATTCATGGACACGGGTCGCCGCTTCGGCACGGCCGGCTTCTTGCCGATAGTCGCGAAGGTCGGCGTCTCCGTGGCCTCGTCCAGCGACCTGACCGCTTCCTCTAGACTTCCCAGCGATATCGAGAAGTTCTCGCGAGCGGCCGCGACTGATGCGTCGAGGTCGCGTCGCAGTGTCACAATCTCGGAGGGAACTGAGCCGCAAAATAATACGTGCAAAGCAAAACGTTGGGATTATGGGGGAGCATGCTACATATAGCGGAATGGAGCCAGAATAACCAGTTTTTTTATGACGGAACAGTCAAGCAGCATCACTTTTTAGAAGAAGAAATACCAAATTGCGCTGTCAACGAATTTTGAAAATTAAAACTTTTTTTATTTTATTATATATGCGTTTTAATCGTCCAATAAGTCACAGAGTAACATTGCATTTTGAAGTAACAAGCAAATTCTGATATTTTTTACTATATAAAAATGAATTTTTGGTGTTAATATTGTGGGGAGGTCTTTTACAAAAAGTAATAAAATCCACTAATTTTGGTTACTGAGGCTCCATTCAACTCAAAAGGTATAAGAAAACAAAATCTAGCTCAACAAACACAACTCTAACACAAAAGGATAAGAGCTACAATCGTACCATCAGCGTGTGACACCTGATGATGGGCGTGATCTTCAGAAGCAAAGGCACCTTGGCTACCGTATCCCGAAGAAGATTCTAGGGACGACTCGCTAGCACTCGATTCTGAACAAACCTGGAAACATAAAATGCAAAGATAAACAAACGACAGTTATTTGATAGCTTGGGTTATAGCTTATCTTTATCGATAGAGATAAGTTGAAATAAATTTTTTTATTTTAAAATTAAATTAAATTAATTGATTTAATAATTTAAATCATATGTTATTGTATGCTTGTATAAAAAATACAGCTTCCATTAAGTGTGTGAACAATACCCCATTCTCCGCTGGATAATGTTTAAATGTTGTGACCGAGCAGTTTTGATACTTACAACATAAAACATGGGTATTTTCTTTCCACCAAATTACGTTTCTATATTTTGCCCATTTTAAAGTAACTTCACGATAAAGTTTAGGCTTAGCATCAATTATGAAAAAAAATCTAATCCTAAATAATAATAAAGCAAGGTTATAAATCCTACTAAGTACTACTAACTAACTAGTTTGGTCTTTATTACACAGATGTCGTACTGTATTCAGACCTTTTTCAGTCCAAAGATTGTACAAGGGGCGTAGGAAATGTTGAAATGCTCGTAAGACAAGTATCAAGATTGTATCTTATGTTTATAATACTGCTTTTACCAAACGGATCAAAACACACCAGTCCAGTACATTCCGTACACCTCATAGCAGTCGATATAACGCGATTAACGATTACAGGCCGGTGGTCAGTTGTAACGCGGTTTGTTGAATTACAGTCGTTCGTGACGAATTATGACAAGGTCTATTGTTATATTTTATATATTGTAAGTATAATTTTATAAACTAATTAATAAAACGTGATATTATATCAATTAAACTTAATTGAAAATGATTTTTAACTTCGGCCCGACGTTTTGTATGCTTTGCAGCAGCCGTGGTCACGGGGAGACACGTCGAGCCGAAGTTAGTTAAACTTGTTTGAAAAATCATTTTCAAATAAGTTTAACTAATATATCGCGTTTTAAACCGTTATAGTGATTTATTTAAATGTGTACTAATCTCGTAAACTATAGACAGTATTTAACTAATCTACATTTAAAATAAGCAAATAAAGAATCGATTCTTAATAAACAATTTGATTCCTAAAAAAATCAGAAACCAAGCTAATTCTAATTTTTTTAAGAATATCCTTTTAAGGTGTCTCTCCCATATAACGACCAGTTTTTACGTCATATGTAAGATTAAATGGTCGTTTTTTCTAAAATTGCGGGGGACCCAGACCTAAAACACTTAGGTACTCTCTTAAAATACATAGGGACCGATCTTGGTCCTAAAGAAAGGGCGTTAGGTCTCTATCGACCAATTACACAGATGTCGATTTTATTATTAGCCCGGCTTATCGGCAATACGATTAAACTTCGCTATTTATGCGTCTTAATGAAATAATCTTATTATGCATAAGTGGTATTGTTTACATGTTAGCGTAGTTTGTAAAAACGAATCGGTGAAAGAATATCTATGCAGTTATTTTGCAATCACAAAAAACATCATAGGTTTATTTTCCGCAGACACTTAACTTCTATTTAATAGAGCTCAATTTATAAGTACTTAATATTGCACATTAAAAAAAAGTACTTATATTCCCAAACATTGGAGTATAGTATTTACTAGCGACCCGCTCCGGCTTCAAAATCCGTTGCGTAGTTTTAAGGTTTTAAGCGCACATAGGGACAGAAAAAGCGAATTTGTTTTATAGTGACAATGATCGTTACTCATTTATTTTTATTTATAAAATCAGAACATCTACGAGAATACTAATACAACATAGCAAGAAATTAACTGTAATAAACGAATTATTACATGAACAACGCAAAAACCAGTTTGATAACCGATTCGTTTTGTTACAGAGTGGCTGCAAATATTCTCTTTTGCGCAGGATGGTGAGTATACAACTCGCTATGTAATCGATTACTAACGGAAATCCCAAATGATTTATGTTATTAACTTTGATTTGAATCAGATCAATTTTAGATATTTACTAGTAAAATATTATGTATGTAATTTACTAGAACCAATTATAATTGATATATAAGAGTGCGTAGAATTTTCAACTGTAGATAATCAATTTTTTTTTCAAGTGTACTGTATGAATCAACGTATAAACGACCCTTATGGGGTTTGAAGAATATACAATTTGTAATCCGTAAACAGAGAATCTGACCATTACATATACAAATATCAAAAATTAATAAATTGTATAAGGCTTTCACGGCCATCGTTTAGGCTGAAAGAAGAAAGATATGCATTTCAGATATTATTGTGTCTTTTACACTTGCAGTCCCCACGAATCGGAAGATGTGAAGGCTGCATACAAATCTGGCGAGATCTTAGACCAGAGTAGTCCAATCACTTTGAAAACGATAATACAGAAAATGAAGGATAGTGGCGTGTTTGACACCAACGATACTAGTCTTAATAGCAGAGAGAGAAAGGAACTGTCAAAACTTTTGGAGGCTGTTGAGATTACGGTAATTTAGAAGTTATAAATAATAAACAACTTGATTTTTGATTTAAAAAAAACAGGCAAGACTTAAATCGGCATCCACAGTGTGGCGCTGTTGCTCTAACTAATTGACCCACCGTGGCCTACACACGCCAGCATCGATTTTAGAAACAATTAATAATAATGATATATTTATGTGCCTAATCAAGATAAACGAGCTATACAAAATAATACTAATAACGATTATTTAACTTAAGGTAACATCCCGTAATCGTCAACCTTCGAGTGTTCAAAACATGTTCTCATCTCTGCGACTAGTCGAAAGAGTGGTCAAGAAACAGTTAAAAGAAGGACAGCTGTCGGAATCACTGGCATCGAAGTTTCATTGGGAAAAAATGTAAGGTTAATAATTCTCTAGTCATGTTAGTATTTATCTAAGCGACTTATGTAAGATGTACTGATCAAACAGATGGCCTAACGTGAAATTTTTAGTCCTTCGAGCCAGATCGATATAGAAATAAGTAATTTTAAGGAAGAAAATAATGAACTAATATTACGATCGCTCATTGAAATGAAACCGTTGTACGATAACGTTTACTAGGTCCACATTTTTTTTTTACTCTGAACACCTCGGTAAAAAATATAATTCCAGCTCAACACGTTCAGTTCGCGAGAAGCCGCTTTATCACCTCGATAAGGAAACCAACATGAGAGTATTCGACCTAGCTACTTAATTAAAAACAATAATTAATTGTATTATTGTATTAAATAAAAATAAACAAATTCTTCTAATAAAATAGCATAAGTGTAATTGTGATGTCAAAATAAATGTTTTTATGTACTTGGGTTTTAATTCCTTATGTCAACATTTTTATGTACATCTTAGAATGGTACCTTTTTTAAATAAAACACTTTAAAACGCGATATACTAGTTGGAACTAATATATCGCGTTTTAAACCGTTAATGTGTTTTACTTGAATGTGTACTACTCGCGTATACTATAGACATTATTTAACGTACCTTTTCTTGTTGTGGAAACTCGCTGTTGTGTTGCTGGGCTCGTGACGCAGCCATTGTTGCCAGCTCCGACATGTTTACGTAGAGCGCCTGTGGCATTTCTGTAAACATACATTTGCGAAATAAACTAAAACATATACACCCATAACCACGGCTGCTGGAAAGCATCCGAAACGTCGGGTCGTAGTTAGAATAAATTGTAAATTAGTTTAACTAATAAGATCTGTATTTTAAACCGTTTAACGTGTTTTACTAACACAAAGGAAATTTTCTAACACAATAAAGAGCTAAGCTTTTTAATTATAAGTTGTTACTGATATTCCGTGTTCCATACACGTGAGGCATGTGGTAAATAAACATTCTTATCCGTTTTACCGATCGAATGTGCGAAAATGTCTCTTCTTTTAAACACAATTACTATAAAAACAATGTACCTTTCGTAAGATGCGGCGGCAGAGAAGACGGTTTCGGTTTCAATTCGCTGTGAAGTATATTTGAATTTGATTTTGTCGGTATGATAGGCCTCTCTAGCGAAGAACACCTCTGTGAATAATAATATTAAACGTTATGTCTTTTCAGCAAACCTTTTTTTAAAGTCTAAAAGCCTACATATTAAATACTGTCGCGAAAAAGGTTAAAGTGTTTTATTTAAAAGCCTACATATTAATTAGTAGAAGGTTACCAAAGTTACGAGAGTGCTCATTTGGCTCTATGTTTGTAAATAAAAAATAGTAAACCTTCTTTATTTATAATAATCATTTTTTTGACTTACGGTCGGCAGAGGCGGTCTTGCATAAATTGGCGTGTCTCTGGGCGTGTCTGTAGGAGTAAACGTGTGGACACTTAACGCTGGACGAGTATGACCGCGCTCCGAACCTGAAATTGTACAAGAAGGTCAAGCCAACTAAAAAAACCTCCACTGTACATAGCTTCAAGATTTTGGTGTAACACATGAAACATTCTGACTTTACGAATATGCAGTTGAATTATATAATGGAAAAATAAATCTTACCAGCAGATATAGTATGAGGTCGACCTCCCATTATAGCTGAGGCGGCTCGTTCAAACTGTGCTGTGTCCTTCAAGTCTGGCCATGTAGCTGATGCTGCAAATTTTTTAAATGTATTTTACCCAACATATTTTATTATAACTATAATATTTTATTATATTGTTTGAACGTGCTAATCTCAGAAATCACTGGTTCGAATTCAATAATTCGTTGTGTGTTAGTTAGCGCATCTATCGAAGATGGGTTTAGAGAACAAGGGACGTGGACGACGTCGAGGGTAAAAGCTATGTAATTTAAAAATATCAGGTTTTCAGAAAAACTATTTTGAAGCTCAAAATAACTTTTCTTCGAGAACTAAGTCTGCTGCTAGTAACATATATAGTTTTTCCTGAACCACTAACCGGCATTCATAATATCGATCGCATCTTCAGACGGATCTTCACTAGTCTTAGTTGTGACCAAGCACTCGCTGTTAACGCTTTGGTTATCTGAGCCCTGAAAAAAAATCATACGATTATAAAGTACAATAAAACAATTACTAAGAAATTTACACTTACAGTTTTATTATTACACCGATAGATGTCACTTAAATCAAATTATTTTAACGTGAAAAATGTATTATACAATTATACTTATATTATACATATTAGCATAAATATATCAATATATTTTTTCAACGAGAATATGTGTAAGGAGAGTAAATTTGAAGGTAATTTGTGTTAGTTTTGTTAATAGCTTATGAAGCCTAAATAATTTGGTAAATTGTTTTCTCACTTAAATATGAGAATGGCTGTTAGTGTGTTAGGAGAACAGAATAATAAAATTCAACAAAAAATTACATTATCAACATAAAGCGAGGGTCTCTGCAACGCATCTTGAGATCGGAACCCGGAGTCTGAGCTGCAGACACTCGCCAACCGGAATGGGGACTAATAAAAAATAATTAAAGAAAAAATAAAATAAAATATGGGAAATGTAACAACTACCGAATTAAGGTGTGTTTGGTAGAAGTAGTAGGTGGAATTGTTTTAAAAAAATCAGTATTTAGTGTTTTTTTATATGATCAAAAACGATTGCCCAAAAATGTTTTTTGAAATATCTCCTATCTTATTTGTAATATCGTCCATTTAATTAAACATGAACAAGTACTAGTGTGTATGTACATAAGTCAATTGGCGTGATACCTGTGTTATACAATGCAGCGAGTCTTCAGGTGGCGCTGGTGTTGTATCTCCGGACGATGCATTTGATACTGGAGTAGAACAGCTTACGGTGGAGTCTGAAACTAAAATTAGGATTTTTTAATATAATTGTCACACCTTGCTTACTTTTTCCATAACATGTGTTATTTTAATAACTATTTTATTTAGAACATATCATGTTGAACACTGTTTGGTCTAATGGTTGGCTAAGAATGAACGGGGCATGTTTCTAATCAATTTTTCAAAAACATGTTGGACTTCGTCTAGATATGCTGGGTATTAAAAAGTTAGTAGGAATATCGAATATTAAGTTCAGGTCATACAATCGACCACAGATGAAAAACCGCAACGTTTAATCGTATTTCGGTTTCTGCTGTGAAGTATCGAATATCCACAGCCATAAAAGGTCGACAGCCCATCTTACATGGCTAAGGCATTTTATAGGCGTTAAGTGCACCCCATGCTTGTCTCTCTTTGTCATTAAAAAAGTGATATTAACCATTTAATCTCATGCAGTTGACAGACATAATAAATATATGTATAATAAAATGAATACAGAAACTTACTTCGGCGCTCCGAGTTCGAGACACTTAGCGAACATATGGACGTGAGCGAAGACTTTCGGCTGCCGACACGAGATGACGATGGCGAGTGAGACGACGCGCTTGTCCAGCCGCTGGAACAGCATTTTACGTCGCAAATCACCTGAAAATAAATTAGTTGGATAAAATTATCAAATAGTCATAGATAGAGAAATGATACTAATATTATTATTATGTTAGCATTTTTTTATGATAGACAAATTAAATAACAAAAAACACAAGCATGGGCTATGTTTGTATTTTTGTTATTTAATTTGATTATATGTGAATATCCTAGCTATATAATGTCAAAATAAGATGTTCTGTCGACCTATTTTGACTTTGGATAATCGGAAATACAAAGACAGAACCCAATACATGAATAAACTGCACGGCTTTTTCACCTATGAACCCATTTAATATCCACATTTCCGGAAAAAATATAAACTAATTAGAAAAATGTGGAACCCGATGGAGATCGAACTCATGACCAATGAGTCCGCCAGATGAAATAATTAATCAATTAAATTGTATTGATAAAAGTAATTTTACCTGTAAACTGGCTGGCGGTAAGCTTCTGGGTTCCGTAGTGTGCCGCGCCAATTGTTCTGTACCTTCTTGTAAATGACCGACCTCCGCTAGCATTGCCACTTCACTCTCCTGAAATATGTTTAAAGTTAAGCATTATAAACAAAATTTTCAACCAATTTTTTGTACAACTCCAGTTTACATGGAATCTGTATTTTACAATTAATAATTTATTATAATTATTGTTCTTGATTATTTGTTGCACATAAAAAAATACAGATAAAACTTGCTAGATAGAGTGTAACTTGCGGCCTTATCGCAAAAAAAAATCTCTTCCAGGTAACCTAAATTTAAGAGAAAAAAAATATATAAAATTTATCGTCAATAAATTTTAAATAAAAATCAGTTCTATATGGTTTCTTAAATTCTATTCAATAAATACAAAAATGAGCTTACCACAACTGGGTTGAGCAACGACACGAAGTGACAGAAGCGACTCCTCTCTTCTATGAACGCAGCCTTGACAGCCTTCTCTTCCATTTCCTCCAACTGCTCTTGACGCTCTTGGATGTCCTGGAATTTTGTGTTTAAAATTTAAACCGCACCAATCATCATCTATTGTTGGTTATCCGAACCTTCAAACATTTATGTCGTTATATTTGTTTACTATAGTTCAAATTTAAAATCCAATTAGATTTTATCCGCATCCGAATTAAATTGAAAGAATCGTTTTATGGTATCAAATTCGGTTGAAATGGATTTTCAATTTGGACCAAAATTAATAATTGTTTGTTAGATAAACATGTCAATATTAATCTTGCAAACAACAAAAAATGTTTGTCTGCTTAGTTTGTATAATTATTATTATTTTGCTTGTATATACCTGTAGCGAGACATCATTACGACGTTTCATGTCGGGCGTAGCTCGCCTCGCCTTCCTGGACTGGCGCTGGGCGTCATGCATTCTCCTCCTCAATTCAGCCCTCGCACGCTTACATTCGCGAGCATGTTCGCGACTCAACGCCCCTGTACCGTTGCATCCACGCCGCCATTCTTCTGCACGCTCCGAGAGCGGGGTGATGAGGCGTTCCATTAGTGTGCTAAAAGGTGATCAACACTTTATATATTTATACCTATAAGAGGGGGCAGACTGAAAAACGGCGCTTAGAGATCACCTTCGTGCAGCATTTATGCGGACACTGAATCCCAACGTACGACAAAATACTTTTAAGATTTTCTTTGAATAAACAAATTTTTCTTTCTTTTTTTGTAATCCAGCTAATTCACACGAACATTATTAAGGAAATGTTTTGAATACAACTTGTATTTTAATAAAACACCTTTTAACAGTTTAGAACGCGAAATATATAATTTACAGGGGGGATGCCCATGACCACCGCTGCTACAAAGATAGATGTAGATAAAATAAATTGTGTAATATGTTACCTCAGTAGTTAACTAAAATATTTCGGATTTTAAACCGTTAAAAATTGTTATATCTAAATGGCGTGTACTACACGCATAAACTATAGACAATGCTTACTATTTGTGTTCTTTATTTATCTTTGTTTTCTAATAAAATAATCTGAACTGGTTTTCGATATTTTACTCAAAATGTGTACGGATAGCACTAACAAATATGAATTTCGCTATAATTAGTAAACTACGCGTTTAATGAGGATAAACTTGTAATAACATTGAAACACAATACACAGATTGCGTACGCATCGTACGTTAATTAAACCAGGATAATGGTTGAATTATATCATTACCTCTCTATACGTGTTTAGGAAGGAAAAGCACAGCTGATTTAATTACAGATTAAGGTATTAATAAAAAAAATAACTCTTTATCTATTCTAATATATAACGCTGAAGAGTTTGCTTGTTTGCTCGGGAACTACTGGTTCTAATTAAAAAAAGTCTTTTGTGTTGTTTAGGACATTTGTCGAAGAAGATTATAGGCATTCAGTTCAAATGAACTTAAAAAATGTCCGAGATATATGTCTATCTTTTAAGATTAACTTGCAAGAACGACGGGACGCGTCGGAGATTGTGGTTAATGGCTAAAATTATAAAGAAGAAAAGGAGGTTTGCAAAAACAAATTTTGATGCACAAAATTACAGTTCTACGACGATGTCACTAACACAGCTAGTTTATTTATATTGTAAGTATGAGAGAGATTCAATGACGTCTACTTATGACGAAGTAACAACATTTATACCTTTTGTAATTATTTTTATAAACGACAAAATCGTCGAACGACAGTTTGTGACAGCTTAAGTGATACCTGTTAATCACTGTTTACCTTATAAACGTTTTCATTCTTGTCTCAATAGCCCGGTGTCTGAGACACACCCTCGTAAGAGCAGTCCCAATTTCTTTTGTCGCACCTGAAATGAAGAAAAATAATGTAAGAGGAGGTAGAGAATAGTTGTTAGAACAGAAACGTATTGTTAAAATAATAGGTACAGTCGAGCTTCCCAAATGAGACTTAAGACAGACATTCTGCATCATTTTGGTAATGTTTTATTCTCTCAGGCGCGATGTTCCTAACAAGTGTCTAAGCCAGTGATGCACAGACTTATCAAGACTAGTGGCCACTGGGGCAGATCATGAAGTATAAGTAATAAAAGACAATAAATAATTAATAATAATGTAAAATCAAAAAAATAATTTATTAATTTGAGTATTATTTTTGCCGTCGGCGGGCCACCGGTATTCCACCGGGGGATCGCGGTGTGTGGTCTAAGAAAATAGAAAACGTGAAATGTCAAATCAAATGAAGTCATACTAATATACATAAATCGATTAGTAGACGATACATGACAAAATATCCAAAGACGATATTAAATAACACAAAAGGGTCACCAATATATTTTCCTGTAACATTCGCAGTTGTGGTAATTTCAACTTTATATGAAAGGAGATAGGATTAAGATTACTTGTACAACGGCTTATCCCATCAAAATACAAGGTCTGAAGAATGATATGCCCATACAGGGTATAATCTGTACTTAAGAATTTATGTGATACTTTTCAATGGAGTTTTTGTGTTTAGAAATTTATTGAATTTGCGCACGATATCGAAACCGACAAAGGTATCAGAGTATTTGAAAATGTCAAGATACGAAAAAGCTTCGCGTTTTATTACATTTATTGAGTAAGGAAATTGGAAACCAAATTATTCGGGTACTTTTAGAGATAGTAACAACTAAAAAACAAACTAAATTTTTCCGCCGGAGGAGGAGAGACAAGCGTGGAGCTCACTTGATAAAAGGCCAAAGAACCCAGCAGAAAAACATTCACACAAGATGCGCTATCGACCTGTATTGGACATTCGGAAATTCACAGATTGAAGCTAATCGATCATTGTGCCCTTTTGTCATTGTGCCCCGACATCATCATCACATCTTGTTCATTTGTGTTGCTCTCGACGTAATATCTATATTCCTACCGCCTATTCTTATTAAAGTTTCTTTTAAACATTATTAGGAACGTTCTTAATTATAAATTGAAATTGGTAAAATATATCAAACTGCGCATTTGGCATTCAAAACCTATGTCATAATAAGTTATGAATCAAAAAGCTAGGTTGCCTGTAAAAAAATGGTCATAAAACGTAAACAATGCGCAGTAGTCTAAATGTCAAACTGTTTATTTCTACTCGAACATCATCAAAGTACGTCATCGCCCGTTCAGGCTAAGGCCGTTGACTGTGGACAGGTGTTAGAAGTTCGAGAAAAAAACAAAACCATTTTCAACTTTATTAGGGACAACGGTCATAAAATGTTAAGGGTGTCGGTATCAAAAAATCGCATTATATGTTGTTAAAAGTATATTATTAACATTTAAGGACGGATTTTATTGGCAGACTACTTATCGAGGAAGGCTATAGGCTCTAAAACATCGCTCTGTGACTAATACAAGCGGAGATACAGCGAGCAATGGGAAAAAAAGAGATAATGATTCATCATTGTGGGTTTCCGAGGCGTACGCTGCAAAAATGGTTCATATACCCAAAAATATGTACAAAAGAATGGTAACCTTTAAATGATCTAAAAAAAAGTCCACGACGCTATATATGCCTATCTTTTAAGATTACCTTGCAAGAACGACGGGAAGGGACACCATTGACGCCGTGGGTAAAAGCGTACGTTTATAAAAAAGAAGTCGTTTGCAATAACGAATTTGGATGCCAACAATAACAATTCTCGCGAACGAAGTTGCTAATATAGCTAATACAACATGCATACAATAATACAACAAACAAAACAAATGGTACATAATATGTTGCCAATATAAGTTACAATTTTAATACAAAACATTTGCTCCGTTCGATAACGCGAAAGCTTCAAATTACCATATCATAGAGGAATCAAGTTTAATGGTGAATAATAAAATGTAACGTTTCTGCTGATGATATAATTGCCTCCAGCCTGTCTGAACCGATCTCGTTCGTTACTATCGAAATGACACCTGGGCAAAATAAATTATTTTTAGGCCGATTGCATACGAGGCGAGAGAAATGAAATCTGATTTATTTTAGACTCCTTTACCTACCAAACGACATACGTTGCTAGAAATGTAGAAACATTTAACATTATACGTTTCATTGTGTGCACTTCTAGAAAGATTTAAGGAATGGAAATTGAAAATATATAATATTTCCTTCTAAAGCCAAAACAAAGTAAATACAAACCATATCGTATTATGTTATGAACGAATAAAAATAAAAATTACATACTTAGTGTCCCAATCAAATATAATATTATATTAATGCTGATATGTTCCTGAAATATACAATTTTTGAAAACTATAAGTGCAGTTGGCCAACAACCGCATAGTCGCACGACGATGCCCCCCAATTTAATCACACGTGAATCTATTAACATTTCACAGAATAGCAACGGGTCTATGACTGGACCATAATAAAGATAATAAATAGGTAATCTTTAATATAATTTATAATTTATTAGCCACCCAATTATATTCAGTACATTTCCTTCAAAATGAAAACTAACCGTATGTATTTTTTAATAAAATTTATCATTAAATTATGTATGAAATCTCGTATAGATAGTAAACAATTTCTATAATGTTAATCGTCGTTTTCGAAGCAATATAAAGCAATGGTATTATACAAATTTGTTAACTTTTAATTACTAGTATGTCAACATAGTCTATATCCAAGTTAAGAACAGTAATACACAGAGAGTGTTTTTCAAATGAATGGTAAAGCTAATAATTTTTCTTAAATATTGTTAGACTTACCATTCTGATAAGCTATAGAATAGAATCACACTATTTTCTACTAACACACTATCTAGGAGGAATTTCAGGAACATTAAAAGAGAAATCTAAATTAATTCTGCTTCAAAATTACCAAATAAAAGAAGGCAGATGTAAATATGTTTTTATGTATTTATTCTTGAGGAAAACGACAAACACGTCATATAATATCTCGAAAATCTAATTTGAGTAGCCACTAAAAAAAAATGGGCTATACAAAAGTAAAATACGGATGATGCATGACAAAAATATCGTAAACATGATCCTGACGATGTAGGAATTGGCCATGATATAAATACGATAATCTCATATTCATGCAAAGTCAGTCCAGTCGATACTTTCGCGACATTTTGACGTCTTAGAAATAAATTTTTAACTTTCGGAAATAATACATCGTTAGATAAAATGAATATAATATTGTAAAGTGTATTTGCTGGCTGTATAGTGACAGTAATTGGCGGTGAGCATTAAACTAAAGAAATTTACTTTCCTTTCATTCGTCATAAACAAAATACTTGACACTTTTCGTTTTTAATGTTAAATAATAATTAAGTCTTTGATTAATATAATAAGAATTCAACTTATAATATTTTTATTTATTTAAAGAATAACTTGTGGCCACAAAATATGTATAATTTAGTATTGCCTTTTTTAAGCTTTTAAGCTCAATCAAATATATCCATTATTGAAGGATAGTTTTCATTTAAAATAATGCAAGCAAATCAAGGAATCATTTTTTACTATTTTTCCACTATGAACATATAAATAATACATTAAATTTCCTAAAATTGTCACAACTAGAATTATATTTAATTTTGTGTGATTTGTATTCAGTTGAAAATAGATTGACATTTTGCTCTATATACGAAAGGTCAACATATTCATACTAATCAAATAATAGTTGTATCATTCAAATAACATTACAACATCCACTGATATTAAATCAAGCATTTATAAGCAGAGCCTATTTGGATTTAGGAACAAAATATTTTTTTAATAAAAACATTTAATTTAATCAAATATATTACAGCTACAGCACATATATATCTTCTTCCTAGTAAAATATAGGTGGTTCCATCAACGATAATTACTAAAGACCAGTTCCAACGTATCGTACATCCGTAGTACTGAACGATAATTTTATTAATTTATAACAAGTTCCATTTAATAACGATGCTGTGTCATCCACAAAGCCAATACCATACGAACAATTTGAATAATATAGCTATCGTATATGCAATTCCAAATCCGGTTATTAATAATGCAAGGTTTAAATAAACTGAAGGTCCTCTGGAAAACAAATGCATGGTCATTCATATTAAGGTATTGGGGGTCAGAAGGCTGTTTAGGCCCCCACTACCTTATTGGACATTCAATGAAGAGGCATAAAACCGAATTGAATTGTTACAGATAATTGCAGATCCTCAGAAAACTTACCAGATCCATCTAGCGGATGCTGCGGCATGCATCTTGCAGCATTACACACCCATGACAGTAAGAGACACATATTTACCGAAATATATTGTTTACACATTTCAGATTGAATTTTCCCTAATTGTTGCCTTGTAAAAAATGTAGCTAACTAATACATTTTTCCTAATAACCTTTGCAGAAGGAGACGCAGCTCTAAACCAATACCCATGGCTAGCGCTCATTGAAGATTCAAGTGGTAGAATTACTTGCACTGGTGCCCTCATTAGCTCCAGATACGTCCTAACAGCAGCCCAGTGTGGATTCAGGGAACCGTAAGCAACATCCTCTTCTTATCGTGACTTAGTTTCGTTACTTTTGTAAGCCTTGTTATTAAAAATCACTAATAATTTGTCTCCTTCATTAACATTCAAATAACCAATAACACGAAGACAAATCATGAAATGAGTAGTTTCTATGAACAAAATTATTAAGAAGCCATCTATTTCAGAAAAAGCGTCCGTCTCGGCGAGTACAATAAAACGAATTCAGAGCTAGATTGCCTAATGGTGAATGGTGCTATGAAGTGCGCAGACAGAGTTCTAACTGTCCCTATTGAGTATATGAAGCCTCACCCGGAGTGGTCGAGGCAAAATCTTCGACTGAACGACCTGGCTCTTATTAAACTGAAAAAACCCGTACCTTATACCGGTGAGTGAGTAAAACAGGAATCGGATTTTCCGGTTAATATCGAATTTCAGAGAACTATTAAGTTTATCAATAAGGATAACTATAGTAAGGAAAGATATAATTTGGAGCTAAATACTGTTACAGATGTTTACTAATCGTTATTATATACAACATATATACTGTTTCAGAATACATAAGACCTATCTGTTTACCAACAAACGACGTAAACTCCTCTCCCCCCAAGGGACTAACCTTCGTCATTGCTGGATGGGGGAGCAAACCTTCTAGCTTCCAGGAAGACGATGTTGTCAAACACTTTGTGGAGGTGCCATACGTATCGCTTGAGGTGAGATATTAGGTGACATAGGAGTTTTATATATTTTAAAATACATTTCATCTTTTGAAGCTTAGTAATATGTGTTAAGCTTTCACCGTCATCGTTGTGAAGGAGAAAGGTTTTCAATGTTTCGCCATCTTGAGCGGACGGCATCATTTCGATTGTTCGAAGAATTAATTAATAATTCTTAGTCGTGAAACGTCGAGAAGCGGTCTCTCGAAAAACAATGATGTGCTGTATTTGAAGCTTAATAAGTTTCATATAAGTAGCACTTATCTGAGAAAAAATGCCAATGTGTATCAAAATAAAAAGTTGGTCTCAAAGCTTAAATACTCTCAATTTCAGCAATGCAGAGCCGCGTACGAAAACTACAACCCGCACCACTTCATGATCAATAGCTACCACATTTGTGCTGGTGGTGAAAAAGACAGAGATTCCTGTAGGGGGGACGGCGGCGGCCCTCTGATGCAAGAACAAAATGGCCGCCATATAGTCGCTGGTATTGTGAGCTTCGGGCCGAAACAGTGTGGAACAAGAGGCATACCAAGCGTTTACACTAATACTTATAAATACTTATCATGGATTCGAAGTGTGATTAGACCATATTAGGTCGCTTTTGCGAATTATAGAAATGTTTAATTTATTATAACTACCGGCGACTTTCGAGATTTTTATCACATTTATTTTAATTGAAACATCGAAAAATATTGTACAAAAATGGACTTTCATGTTTACACTTATACCCCGATAAGACTACTTAGTTAGGTAAGATATAGATAAAATACTACTTAGTTAATTTTAGTTAATTATTATTAGTAATAGAAACACATGTTAGATTCAGTCGAATCTTATCGATTAAAAGACGTGGATTATAGGAAAATCCACAACTTCGTTTATAATCGCAGGAGTATTAAAAAAATATATTACAAGTTTTACCCTGAAAACTTTATTATTTTTTTACATGTTATTGTTCATGAAGGTACTATATAATTTAAAAAACGAAAATAAATTGAAAAGATGTTCAACTCGGGCAGAATTAAACCGGCATCGTCAGCGTTCCGTGCTGTTGCTCTGGACGCTGACGATGCCGGTTCAAGTTTTACCCTGTCGCGGAAACTACAGACAATACCTGGAAACAGTTACTTATTAAATGGAAAATAAAATAACTACAGTCAATGGGTCATGGTGCATCATGCAGAATCCCTTACGATGAATAATATTTAAACTTCTAAGGGATTCCCTGCTGGCTGAATGCAACTCGTGACTAATAAACCAACGGATCGTGGTTTCGATTCCCACTGCATTCAATGTTGTATAATGTTTCTGTAATATGGAATAATTGGACATGGGTGTTAGAAATATCAAAACTCGGAAATCGGACAGAGGTCACAAGGCCCCCAGTCTACAGACTTTCCCTAAACTTGTCTGTCCTATCTTATTATCTGTATAAATTAGGTGTACCAACGTAATATTTTAATATCAAATTGGATGCACTGATTACAGTTACTTACGTCCATTGTGGTTTACAAAGGCTAAGACATGCTTAAAGTTTAAGCAGGATAAATGATAAATACGCGTTGATCGTGAACTCGTAGTCTCGGAGCCAATAGCGATATGCTATTGCGCTCTAACATTTTTTATATTACGTAGAAAAACTTTGACTAGAATATTGACTCACTAAGTAATTCAAATGCATTCGGATTGCTACACCTTCTATTTTTTTGAAGAACCGAAGTTTTTAATAAACAAAGAATATCAAAAGTTAATTACCCGAAGCAAATTCTGTCAAATTTTACTCAACAGCTAAATAAGAATGATTTTTATTTTTGATGAAAAAATATAATCAAAGTTAATAAATTGTGTAAGGCTTTGGCTTTCACGGCCATCGTTGAGCATATCACTGTTTTTCGGGCTGTTCGGCAAACGTAAAGAACTTATCGTCCTAAAACTTGACAGCTTTTAAATAGAATGTCTAGATTATACACATATGTATATGCCAATTTGCTGTCCTAAATCAGGCAAGAAGGAATAACCTATTCCCTTCTGCCCTAAGTCCTTCTTAGCAATCAATCTAGAGCTTAAGTGTTAGCGAGCATAGAAATATACCATACATACAAAAATGAGCTTTGTCTTTAAGAAAGATATTCGAGACTTTTAAACTTATAGGTCCTGGAATCACATTCGATTTCGCATAAATCACGACAGCTGAACCCTCGATGACGTAATTAAGCCTCTGATTCCCCCTACCAATATAAAGCACGTCGCAAATAAGACGCTCTTGGACTAAAAGCCTCACACATCCTTGAACTAAACGCCACTCGAATCTAAGCTGTAGTGGCTTTCGAACTAGCGAGCAGGAAACACGTATGAAATGGTGCCATGTATATTATTGTTGTTTTTATACGCATATAATGCAAGCGGACAAGAATATGGTGAGTAAACTTTACAACCGGTTAAGTGCAACTGCGATTACATTTTTGATTCTTATCAACCTCGACATCGTGTATTGTATATCTTTTGATCTTGTTTTACATAGTGTTAGTTGTACTGCTAATATAATTATTACCTATACAAAAAGATTGCGCGTGAAAGAGATATTTTAATTTTCTATGTGGGTAAATTTAATTACAGCAGCTTGGCGCCAAAACGAGTTATGTTGGATAGCTGTAAAAACCCCGAGTGTCACTTCTTAGAAATACATTCACCTGAATGAGTAAATTTTAATATACTTTTGAAGAAAAGAGACTGCTTTTAAAAATCGATTTGTTACTTAAATTTTAATTTTCCTTCTTGCATTAAATCTTAAAGTCCTTTTAAATTAAAATAATAACAAAGTAAAATTGCATTAAAAGCTCAAATACAACATTAATTAGATAAAACATATAATCGATCACAATTAATTATTAATTGTGATTGATTATAATAACTCGTTCAAACCACTTTAGCAAGCATTTTAAAATTGCTAAGATGAAATGATTCAATAATTCTTTTTTAATATCCTTTATCTAACCTTAACGTTCGCTGCCGGATATAATAGACTCCGACTCAAAACGATTGATTTTCATTCATTAATGTATATAAAACTATCAATACACATAATACATTTATTTGTGTGTATAACGTTACGCTACATAATGTAATAAATTTATTTTATGTAAGACAGCTTCTTAAGAAAGTTGGCATAACTATTAGGTCAATTCTATTTTAAACATTATTGTGTAAATGCCCCTGTAGGAGTTAAGAGATATAAAAATTGTCATAGATGCAGACTGCATCACACCGACGGGCATGGGGAGTCATTGTATCTCACTGCACGACTGTGATAAACTGAAGCCGCTGATAAAACGACCCGCTTTCGAAAGGGAAACGCTAAAACTTTGGCACTGCGGATACGACGGCGATGTGCCAAGAGTAAGTACCATAATTTAGATACAACACACAAACAACAATAAATTGAAGTAACATACAGTGGTCACATGAAACTAAAAATGCAAAAGCGAACGTCCTTAATTTTTTTTTTAATTCTCAGGTGTGCTGTCCTCCCACAGTAGCAAAGACTAGATGTTATACGCCTGAAGGTAAGCCTGGAATCTGCGTGAGCGTCCCAGCATGTCCTAGTATTTCAAAACGACTGAAACCGCCTGTCAGCAGCGCAAATCTAGAATACGTTATGCTTTCAAAGTAAGTATAGCTAAATTTTAATTTCATGGTTTTTTAAGATTTGCTTTATATGGTAATTACAACTAATTGCTAAGAAAAAGACATAAGCATCAGTGCAAAATAACTATAGAGATAATTATACAGATATAAACACATCGTGAAGGAAATGCGATTAAACAATTTAGAGAAATTAAATAATTGTAAATATACCTATATATTTTAAAATTTACTATTTACTTTTCAGATGCAGAGGTCCAGCAGAATTAAATGTATGTTGCGACGAACCAACAAGAAATCGAACGATAACTGATACGAGAAATGGCAACAATGAAACTAATGAAGCCATAACCATTGATAAATTTAACGTAATGATTACGAAATCTCCTGATGAGGTCACCGTTAATCCACTGACTATAAACGACAGAGGCGAAGCATCCGATTGTCAAGAAGAATTGGATATACCAAACGTTGACAGTGGTTGTTGTGGTGTTGAAAGTCCAAGCGGTAATAGAATTTTTGGTAAGTGAATTAACTAGTTAAACTACTCTAAAACCTCTTTTTATTATTCTATTTCCGTTTTTTTTTAATATCCTTAAAACCTCTAGGTGGAAATGCTACTGCAATCGATCAATATCCGTGGCTGGCTCTTATAGAATATTCCAATGAACGTTGGATCTGTGGTGGTTCGCTCATAAGCAGACGTTGGGTCCTAACAGCAGCACATTGCCTCGTTACAGAGGATATGAAAAGTAGGAATGCGTAAGTATCACAAGCAAAATATATATAATTTGCTACACTTAAACTATTTCTTAAGTATGAATTTCTATCACGATTCGGTCTTTCAGGCAAAGTGTTCGTCTCGGAGATTATAACATAACGAATCCTGGTATTGATTGCGTTGAAGTTGAAGGAGGAGGAGTTGATTGTATCACAGAACCTGTTTCAATAAAAATAGACATTACTATACTTCATCCAGAGTACAAGAGCGTAAAAACCATCGTTGAACCTAATGATATTGCTTTACTTCGTCTTCAAGAGTTGGCGCCGTATAATGGTACTTTTTACAAAATCGTTTATTCAAATTCTATATTTTTATTATCTTGAAAGAAGTTGCGAAGTGTTAAATAAGGAATTAAGAAGAATTTTAATTTACAGATTTCATCAGACCAATTTGCTTGCCCGTCACCAACGTATTAAAATCTCCACCAGGAAATATGAGATTTTTCGTAGCTGGCTGGGGTGCTATAAGTGAAACACGTTCATCCAGTGACGTCAAATATCATGTGGACCTTCCATTATATGACGAAAATGTTAGTATATGTCGTAAAAATTTAGTGCATGTAAAGAACCCGCAGATATCAGCAGATCATCATACATTCTAAGCTATATCATCTGCATTCATCAAGTTTGTCTACAACGTATCAATGTCAGCGACGAGAACTGGTTTTGTAGATATACTAATGGATGTTATCCACGCAAGTCGCTCTAATACGAGTTCTAAAATTTACCTCCTCGTTTGGGAAATTCTAAACATTTCGCATTAAACAATAAATGGGAACTATTATTTAAAAAATCTATAGAACACGAATTGTAGGTTCAGGATTATTTTTTATTGTAATTATTGTATCCTAGGATATATCCTAGCATATCGTATGAAAAAGGACAGTTGACTATTAACAAGCTGTAATTTAGCAACTTGTCATTACAAAAGTTCTATAACAGTTGGCAGCTACTAAACTCAAGAATGTTTCTTTTCTGTAATTTATAGAATTGCCTCCGCTTGTATTCTATGAAGAACAAGGCTATAATTTGGGACAAACAAGTCTGCGCGGGCGGTGAAGAGAACAAGGACTCTTGCACTGGAGATTCAGGCGGGCCGTTGATGTACGCTCAAGACGAAAAACCCTTCCAGATCGTTGGCATCACCAGCTTTGGTGTTAAACAATGCGGTTTCCAGGGACGACCCAGTATTTACACTAAAGTTTATTCGTATATAGATTGGATAAGAAAAGAAGCAAAACCTTGAATTGTGATATTAGAAAAATTATGCGTTTATGCAATCGGCGCAGTCAGCCTATTTATAATTTTAACGTAGGTTTTGTACAGTAAAATTTAACTTTTTTGAGTTTCGAACAGAAACACTGTCTCTACTTCTTCGTGTTAGTACCTCATAATTAAGCTTAATTGCGTTACACGTTAAGTGAATTCTAGTTGAGTAAGAAAGACAACTACAATTAGACTTGTTCATAATTATTAATTGTGATAAATGTAGTGCAAATTTATTATGTACAACAAGTATGCTATTTTGGTCGGTAGTTATGAATTATAGCAAACGCAGCAGATCAATAGAAACACAATATTGTAATCAAGTATTATAAATTTATCAAATTCATTGTAAATCTGCCTAGTATATAAGTATGAGTATTAATTAATTAAAAATATTTTTTAATAAATGTGTGTCATTTCGCAATTGTTGACCTGAATTATTAGTAAACTACAAGAATAAATACAAGAAGAAAGAAATACAACAATGAAGATACATTTCAATTAAGTCTCATCAAGTGAATTGACTGCGCAAAAAATATAGTGCAATTAACCACGTGGAAGTTGTAAATTGTAATGTACGCGCTACTGTTTAATCATACCATTGCTATTATTCTACTTAACAGCAGATAGTATTTAATTTTTCCTCGCCATGTAATATGGCTACAAAAGTTAACAATTTACCGTATTGGACATCATAACGTTTTCGCCTAAAAGGAAAGCTGTCCTAAAATTAATTTATTACGAACCAAGAAATCAAAGGTCATTTTGTGAAAGTTTATTATTTTTGATTTAGCACTGATAATCGCTTCGATCATATTAAGTTCAAATAACGGATTCCCTATGAACTATTAACCAAACTATAACAGAATCAGAAAAGTAAATTTTGAATGATACATATAAAGAACTACGAAAACAGTTTTGAATATTTTCGAGCCCTAAACATCGTTCAATCAACTCCAAAAAAACCTGATTATTAGGAATCCCCTAGGCTCGGTCTACTTGGCCAGTCGCCGATGGGCATCTCCGCGCGACAGACGTGCGTAAGCGCACACACAACAGTACAAAAATGACGCCGCTGCATCTAGTGTCTGCGATTGTAGCATCCTATGTGTGCTTCGTGCAAGGACGTGAGTTTCAAATCCTGTTAAACGTAATCGGATGCTCTTATCCGTTTTTTTTTCTTTGTTAAGGAAAATGTTATAAATTATATCACGTTATTCAATGTGCGTTGAGTAACAACTTTGATAATATCGTCTCTACAATCTAAAACCCGGCATATTTATGAAGAACACTGACCACTCGAGTGACCCCTAAAATTATCTACTGCCATTTTAAAAAACATAAATTATTAGCGGTATTTTTGTGTTGACAAGTGCGCCTGCAAATGAGTAAAACAACAAGGAAATTATCTTTGTCATATTTATCGTACTGTCAAATCATTATTGCTGTGAATGTAGGCTCAATAGAAAATGGCTTCACTCATCACGTAATAAATAACAAATAATTTAAAAGTGATTAAATATTATTAAATAACTCTTATTAGTTATTGTTATCAAATAATAAATACATATTATACACATATTCATATCGTATTATATAGTATATATCTTTTAATATTATGTAGAAATTATTCGGTTTGTGGCAGTAGTAACAAAATGTCAAATACCTACCCACTAAACTCACAATACTGTCGTTCCGATTTAAAGGTTCCAATAACTATAGATTTGACCAGTCGTACTATAAAACTAATAAAATTAATATAAAATGTAATTTAATTTCAATTAATAGAATTAACTAGTGAGTAAAACGTCCACATTAAATTATACATCGTTAGGATTTACTTCCGTCTTTATTTGATTACAAACAACAAGACATTTCGTGTAATTATTTAATTATTACTTAGAATTTATTTTTGCATCAAGAACTTAATTCACGTGTTCCCCCCTTAATTGCGTCGTAATGGCATTACAATTTCAATAGTAAACCTCTTTGACAAACAAATGACAACAGCTACGTTATAACAATATAATCGTTATTAATTAGTTGTTATGAAAATCTAACTAGCATTTGTTTTTGCAATCGTCAAACCGGTTTTCCCACGGTTACTTGAAAGCTGAGATTAACAATTAAACTATGGTAGAACTTCCCGTCGAAATAACCTGGGTTTTACCACGTGCGAAGATTTATCAACACAAACATTTTATTGATAACGTAATAGTTTGTTCATTCGTAATGTGTTTATGCGTTAAGCGTTAACATTAAATTGCATTTGTACTAAACAAATTCAATTTAACATCTATACTAATATGTAAAGGTGAGAGAGTTTGTTTGTATGTTGGAACTCGCTAATCTCAGGAACTACGGGTTCTAATTCAAAATATATTTTTGTGTTGGTTACAGCATTTATCGACGAATACAGCGAAAAATGAAAAAAAATTGAAAAGTTATTCATCATTATAGGTTTCCGTACGCTGCAAAAACGATTCCAAATAGCCAATAATTATGTATGAGAGAATGATTCCTCTTTAAATGTTTTTAAAAAAAATTCCGCGACGCTATGTCTATCTTTTAAAATTAAATTGAAAGAACGACGGGAGGGGACGCGACCGACATCGTGGGTACCACCAGCCTTAGTTTATAGATGAAGGGGTTTGCAAAAACGAATTTGGATGCTTAAAATAGCGATTCTCGCGAACGAAGCTGTTTGATATAGAGTAAACAATCACCATCTCTTTGAGCACCAATGTTAATATTATTATATCCAATTATTTTCATAAAGACTAGAAGGGAGGTGGCCACCAAACCGTTAGCAATAAACTAGATCTAGAACTATTGTCATATCATTATTTAATTAAATCTTTAATTACGTCAGATATGCGAGACGTCATGTAGTCATTTATACATCTATCATTAACCTATTTGTATTTTTTAAGCTGTATAAAATTCATTTTAAAATCTATAAACAAAAACTACTTAACTTAAGATAAAATTGTAAATAAGACTTTTTATGTGTCTCATTTAATAAGTCGGTATGCTGTAACGCAAAAAATACAAACACGAAATCATTAGTGAGTGATTCTTAGAAAAACACGCTAGATCCATAAATAAAGTATCATTAATCGTCGATATTGGCTCCATTGTGAATAATGATTGTCGACATTTACTGCAGCATGCAGTCATCAGCAGTGGAAACTTCTCGTCAAGAAATATATGCTGGTTAAGCTGCGTCAACGCGATAGTGTCAGAGGTAACCCGAGGCACAAAAACGCACCAAAGCACATGCTAGTAGAACGTTACATTTCAGGACATAGATAAGACGCAATATATATAGCAGTGGCCAATTTGCACCAATAAAAATACAAAACTAAGTAAATAAAAATGTTGACCCTGTCAATGATTAGCTAAAATTATACAATATCTGTTACTGTGTATGTGTGTGTGAGCGTTAGCGATACTAAAACTCAATAGCAAAATAGTAATTTTTTTCTCAATCAGCTTTTTTGAAAGAGCTGACATCAATATTAGACATAATCAATGTCAATGTTTTGTTTCATGTCAGTGAAATTGGGTATAAGTGTTGTGTCTGAATATAAATAAAAAGCCATACAGAGGTTGTCTTGGTTGCAGCTCACAATGCATTTCTTTTACCTGAGTAAGCAAAGCACAGGTACTTCACGCCAAGAAAAATGCTTTTTTATATCACAATTATGCACCGCATAGTGTTTTATAAGAATACGAATAATATATGACTCCATAATCCATATTATAGAGACCAAATTCAGTGTGTTGCGATGCACTGTTTTGTTATGCTTTTTTGCTTTAATTACAAGAGAACTACCTATAAACCTTAGTTTGGTAACTACCTACAGAACTCGACGGTCGTAACTCTTCAGATAATAAAAAGAATTGTATTTATTTAAAACTGGTCATCATCGGGGATTTTGAAATAACTATACAAGGAAAAGTTAAGTCGTTAATAAAAATATTATATTCCGGTTTTTTAAAGCTTGAGCGACAGCGTCAAGAGTCTATATTGTCTTACTTAAATAAAAGAAATTAATGTAGCTTATAAACGAAAAAATGCCGTTCCTAAGGGATCAATATAATAATTTTAATGGGAAAATTTTAAAAATAAGTAATAAATAAACTAGTGTATCCTATAATTGTATTTTTGCACTATCGTAATATCTTGCAGAATCAATATGTACAACGCCCGACAGTGCTTCAGGAGTTTGCATCGGTATTCACGAATGCAAACCTCTCTTGGCGATTCTAAACAAGCCACAAAGGACCAAAGAGGACATCGCTCTCTTGAGGCAGTCACAGTGCGGCTTCGGCGCTAACAATATGCCACAGGTAGCTTTTCTAGACAATAATACGCAAACAAACTTTATCTCGTGAAATACATCGGTTAAACAAACGCCTGCAAGCTTTCATCAGTTCAAATAAGTCGTTAATAGCAGTGTTCGTACGTACGTAGTCATATCGTGGTTTAATATTTTGAAAAATAATTATATTAGGATTGGAAGGCAGTATTATTTATATATTTATTGTTATATATCGCTTTTGATATTTAGAATTTAGATTTATACACGTTTTAACTTTTTTCGCAGGTATGTTGTCCTCAAGTAACGCCGCCGCTAGATAGACGATGTTTTACGTATGAAGGTAAAGAAGGCACCTGTTTGGGTCTACGATCTTGTCCATCGCTGACGAAATTACTGACGCCGCCTATCGCTAAGGAGTCTGTGACTTATGTCCAAGTATCTAGGTAAGGTGTGATATGCGAAACCACAACACCTAGTAAAAACTAACTCCATGGAGTATTCTTCCATATAGTTCAAAGGTAGAAAGAAAATGTAGGACTATGGTGAACTACTTATGGTGTGTTTACGTCCCACAGAGTTCTAGGAGACTTGGATTGTGATTGTTTAATAAAGAGAGAAAGGATTGTAAATCAGACAAAATAATATTGTTTTGTGTAATCTAAAACCAAATAACTTCAACCCGTAGATGTGAAAGTCCAGATCAATACAGCGTATGTTGTGGGCCGGACGATGTCGTGCCACCTCCACCTGTAAAGGTTCCTGGGGCAGCTTGCACGCCCTCAGCAGCGCCCCCAGATCCCAGAACTGAATGCTGCGGTATTGATAGCGGAGGGGGAAATAGAATTTTTGGTAAGTTCTTGCAAGGACATAATAGAAAATGTAAAAATGGGCACCGAGCCAATAAAACCTTGGATTATCTCTCAGCAAATATTGCAAAAGAGATCAACTTATTTGACTTTAGTGGTTTTGGGTGACCAATAAATTGTATTGAATGAAATTGGATTGTAAATCTTGTTCTAGCTCTTCAGTCAATTATCTTGAGGTTTTCCGTATATTTAACAATACTGGGAATCCCTCGATAGCATAATATAATATGTATTTATCAAATTAATTATTACTGCAATAATTAATGTCAACAGAAAGATTGCACATTTGAAACTGATGACCTGACTTAAAATAAAAGGCAAATAGTTTTACCCAAAAATTCATAGCTTTACTAGTTCCATGAACGGTAGATTATGTTAAATTCCAAATTTTATGATCGATCCTACTGAGATGGACTGCTAAAAAGCTTAATTTCAGGTGGAAACGTGACGGCTATAGACCAGTATCCCTGGCTGACGCTGATAGAGTACAGAGGTGTTCGGGACGACGCTATAAAATTATTGTGTGGCGGAGCTCTTATCAGCGGGCGATATGTCCTGACTGCCGGTCATTGTGTCGCTGGTCCAGTACTCAACATAGGGAAGCCGTGAGTCATCTTTTAATTAATTTACGTGTTATTAATCACCGCATTCTTTAATAACTGGATCTTTTATAACTTTGGTGTAAGAAGTACCTTTACCGAAAATCACGTTAATAAACATTTATTACTTTTAGAATAAACGTGCGCCTTGGTGAATACGATGTAAGAGTCACGGGTAGAGACTGCGTGGAAGTTGAGGGCGGTGGAACAGACTGTACAGATCCCATGTTGCCGTTGCCAATAGAAGCGACAATACCGCACAAGGACTACAACCCAAGCGCTAAGCTGAGGAGGAACGACATCGCTTTGATACGTCTAGCGAAATTAGCACCGTACACAGGTTTGTCTTCTCATGGACGTTAGATCGATTTTCTAAACAATACATCATTGTCAGATTATAAAGTAGATTTTTAGGATAAATTGTATGGATACATAATAAAATTAATAATAGCATAATCCAAGAGAAACAGTAATATTTCATAAATATTTTCCACAGACTTCATCAGACCGATATGCCTACCAACCTTAGACATAGCGAGGAATTCCGTACCAAACGTCAGATTAGAAGTGGCCGGCTGGGGAGCCGTTAGCGATGAGCAGAGTTTCAGTAATGTTAAACTACACGTGGATCTACCGTTAGCAACTAAACAAGTGAGTATCGCTTAATCCGGAATTAACGGGACACCCTGAAAAGCCTACTCATACTCCAGTTTTATAATTAACAGCTAATATCAAAAATACAATCAAATCAACGAGTATGATTAATGAAATTAGAAAGTTAAAGCTTTTAATTTTTACAGATGATTGATGAACTAGGTACTGTAGGTATTCATGTGATATAAGAAATATTTCTGTATAGCTTTTTTTCATTACTATTTATACTTTACTATATATATTGAGATTGAAATTATATGATTGTTCCAAACGTATTTCAGGAGTGTGAACCATATTACGCGCAAAGAGAAGTCCCACTATGGGATGGGCAGTTATGCGCTGGTGGTGAAAAGGGCAAAGACTCGTGTAAAGGAGACTCTGGTGGCCCACTAATGAACGAGAACGGCAAGATATGGGAAATCGTGGGAATAGTGAGCTTCGGTCCGACGCCTTGTGGGATGGAACACATACCTGGCGTCTACACGAAAGTCTATCAGTATCTCCCGTGGATACGCAGTCAGATGAAACCGTGATATTGTTAATAATTAGTCTAATTGATTTGGATCAAACTTCGAGAGTAACGGAACGGAAGAATGCAAATTATGACTGGCGAAAATTACTTTAGTTATTATCAAAAAAATATACATACATTTAGAATGCCACTTTGTACAAAAGTAAATTAAAAGAATATAAGAACTATAAGGAACGGGCTTTAGGATTTTAATAATATGAAACATCATGAAGTAACATTAATAGGTATACTTGGTGTAAATGATATATATTAATTTCCCTGCAGAATAATAGTCTGAAAACTATGGATATATCTCGATCAAATTCAATTTATTTCGTTGTTAAGGATTTAGCGTCATCTTCATACAATGTAATAAAAATTCCATAGCACTTGTCTGCTTTGGTAACATGCTATTGCCAATGTAAAAGCTCAAATATACATTTTCTAGAACTTTCTAAGTAGTAACGATATAACACTTTTTCTTTGTTATATTATAATATGACTGTTACAATTAAAGAAATAAAATACCTCCTTAAATAGTAACAAAATAGGTATTATAGGAAAAACCAAAATGTTATAAAATTTATCTTTCTGGGCCACATGAATGTGGGTATTTTAAAGTCGGAATTAATTGACTTCTAGCACGACGTTTCATAGACCACAACGACACCTATAAAGACATGGAAATTTAATTAAATTCCTGCGTTCACATTGTAAAACTCTTTAGTAACAAAAATGTGTGACTGAATGAAAATTGCGGACATGAAATTGATGGTGATAAGTACAGCTTTATTGTAAGATTTATAAAAGTTTTGTATGAAATATGTTTTTTTGTTAATTGACTTCCTTCCCCGTTCCCTTATTTTATGGGTCCTGGCACGCACAATCAGTCAATGGTTATTCTTATTATAGAGCCGTAATTGGGTCAAAAACTTGTATCGAGTACAATTTTACAAGTTACGTGTAAGAGGAATAGAGAAATTTTGATTAGCATCTAGTAGGTACGTAATTTATTACTTTCACAAGCTAATCGTACTCTTATACGTGGATAACATGTTACTTTATCATATTATCATTTTTAAAAAGCTCGTTAGTAAAGTTTTTAAAGCCTCCAAATAGTAAAGTACAAAATGCGTCGCAATTCTAGCCTCATCATTTGTAGTGACACAATAACGTACACAGACTCAAAACACGTTGCAACTTAAATTAACATAAAACTTTACCCTATTCTGATCTATCGAACCATGATCAATCTGTGTTACATGACCAAGACACATTCCATCAAGAAAATATCTTTCTCCTTCAACTATATGAGTACGCCATTCTACTACAACGAAGAAATGATTTAGGAATGTATCACTTTTCCTTACATCCATGCAACTTATTACGTGGCAACACTGGCATGTGAGTTTCTACTCTAACAATATGAGTATTTCCTTATAAATTATAATATGGTACGCAAAACCTGTCAGACAGCGGCCGCAAGTGCGACCAAACGGCTGCTCAACAGAAAATGCGTGACGTGAGAGTATACTGTGTGTTATTGTGTTCCCTGGCGATTTGTGCAGGTTAAAACTCAACTTAGTATTAATATATAATAAATCTGATATAAATTTTTAACAATTTATGTAGTGAATACGAAAGATTCGACATAAGCATATTGTGTTGTGTTTGCTTAAAGAATATTATTATTTATTGCAAGTTTTGTATTATAAGACTACTTCCAAATCGTAGCCCTTGCTTATTTGAGTAGCAAAAGGTATTTAAGGCATGGTAGCCATTAAAATTAAAGTAGGTAAGAGATAAATAAATAAATTGGATATACGGGCTAGCTAAACGGACAACAACCCTACCGATTGTGTTAGATTTATTTTATTTATTATTACTATACTATTAAATTTCTGATGTACGAATTTCAGCGAAAATTTGCAAGATTCCCAATGGTGGTGCCGGAGAGTGCAGGCCGATAGAAAAATGCAAACCCCTGTACGACCTAGATAACAAACCATACAAGACAGAAGCGGACGAAACAATATTACACCAGTCTTTTTGTGGAAATCCATTTAATCCTAACATAAAGGTACTATTATTCAAAGGTGACAAACACAAGATTTAAATGAAAAAAAAATTAAATAAGCCATTTAGATTTAAAACGTGTTATATACACAATATCTGAAAACAAAATATTATAATAATAACGTTATAGCGTCACTATTAACTTGTAAAAACATGTTTGTTATAAGGACAAAGCCAAGTTTGAGTTTGTAAATTGTAACAACATGCAGCAACATGACAGCTAGTATGACGATTTTAAAAAAGGTCTTTAAGTAAGTTATGTGTAAGGCCAATTTATCGATATCGTTATTATATCTCAAACTATATTTCTTGAAAGGAAAATGATTATGAAGGAAAATAAGTATTGGTAAATTAACGTCATAATATTAAGTAATTCTCATCTTAAGCTCAATAAACCCAAAAGAAAGAAATGTCACAGTGTGGACACAAAGATAGTCGGATTTATTGGGACATTTATTTTGAGGTACGATTCCCAAACGACACTCGATATTACTTACTTGATGTTGATGAGTTGTAATTGGATCTTCCAAAACCGTTTAAGGAAGTATCAACATCGCATATACATTCATATTAAATTATCCTCCTAAATGATAATACATACTAAGACTACATTAGCTTAGCAATATTTTTAACTCTATAGAGGATAATAATTATGTTACATCTAATTAACACAACTCATCATTGAGACTAAAATTTATTGTCAAAGAAAAAGTTAAAATTTTATATTTGTGAGGGTTGAACTTAAACTAGATTTTTTTTTTTTCAGGTTTGTTGCCCCCCGCGAAGTCAGTGGACGAATTTCAGAATAAAACCAGTTTTATTTCCCGATCATACGGTCATATCAACCCCGGCAATCAGTAGTAACCCGGATATCGATAGAACTCCATACATCAATAAAGACCCTGATATTAATAAAATCCCGGTGCCTGGGCCAGCTGTTCTTAGCATACCAGATAGAAATGACCCTCCTGATGTGATTATCAATTACAACCAATTATCCCATCAGAATGAAGACAATAATGTAAAAGAAGAGATTTCAACATCCACTTGTGGCATTGATACCAGCAGTGGGAATAAAATTTTTGGTAAAATCCTTCTTCAATCTCAAAATTTAAAACAAATTGTAATTTTCAACAACACCAAGAGTCTGCAGTGGAAAGTTTTGGCTCTGATGGTTTTGGCTATCGTGTAGAATATTAAACTCTTAATGATAGAAGCTTTTTAGTTTAGTCATTTATTTGCTTAACAAAAATTTCAGGAGGCGAAGCGACTAACATCGACCAATACCCGTGGTTAGTTGTATTAGAATACTCTGGTGGTCTTCTGTTATGTGGCGGGAGCTTGATTACAACAAAGTTCATAATGACGGCAGCTCACTGTATAAATGGCATTAATCGACCGCCGTAAGTAAAATAATAACAAACATTAAGCATAAATAATGAAAGGAACAAACATGAGATTACAAAAATAATACTAGAAGGACGTCAAAATATCCCAATAGCTCTTATTATGTAACTAGGATACGCTGTCGACCAATTTTGACTTTGAACATTCTGAAATTTCACTTGGTAAAGGTCTGAATTGTCAAAGTTGATATGTTAATGTTATAATGTAACCAACATGTCCCGTAGGAATAGACCAAACATAATCAAAAATGATCTCTACAGGGTATTTGCTCGTCTAGCTGAATATAACATAACATCATTTCCTACCGACGTTGTTGAAACGGATGGTGGTGGTGAAGATTCTATTACAGTGACTATCATCCCCGTTGAGAAGACATTGGTCCATCATGAGCACAACCTGCGATTAAGAACACACGACATCGGACTCGTCAAACTAAGTCGCAATGCAGTGTTGTCAGGTTTGTAGTTTCTAAATAAAAATGATATTGCACTCGTACTATCGTCTAAACTTAAAAAGAATCAAACATAAATGTTAAGTTATTCTAAAGCTTAAGTTTATATTTATAATTTTTTGTTGTGTGCAATGCTTCTAGGCGGCTACCATAATTAGCTTCTATTTGATCGGGTTTCCCAAATGAAATCTAAGCTTCAAGACCTTTTCTCACTACTTACTATATTTTAATCGTGATTCATTAACTTGTTTATCACTCGAATGTGTGTGTAATAAAAAATGAAGTGTGTCTCTATTGTACTTCCAGATTTTATCAAAATCATCTGCCTGCCGACGACAGACCTGCTACCTCAATTCAACAAAAAAACAAACTTCACCCTAGCCGGCTGGGGAAGTGATGAAACTGGTGGTGCTAGTGATGTGAAGAAACATGTCATGCTACCGTTTGTGAAGGAAGATCACTGTAAAAGAATTTATGCAGATTTGCCGCTATTGAATGTGGTGTGCGCCGGTGGAGAGGCCGGTAAAGACTCGTGCGATGGTGACTCTGGAGGACCCTTGATGTACGAAGTGGAACAGAAATATATAGCGGTAGGGGTGTTAAGTTTTGGATATCGCCAGTGTGGGATAGCTGATCGCCCTAGTGTCTACACCAATGTCTTTAAGTATGTAAAATGGATCAACGACGTAGTGGAAGGGAGAATACCAATGAATTGAAATCATTGATACTACTTTAAAACACCTGCAAAAATAATGCTCAAGAAAGATATAATTTAATTTAAAACAAATTTAAATAGACTTTGTAAACTTAGCCGTTTACCAATATGGTTGAAATCAGTAGCCGACCGTAGAGTAGTTTATACGAACATTTTTTTTTAATTGTAAATTGATACCTCTTAAGTAAGTAATAAATTATTTTTAAAGAGTTTGTTAGTTATTTTGCAAACTGGTAATATTTATCTCATAAGTCAAGAATCTAACAAAGATTGAATGAAAAACATTAATGCTACATGCATAAGAAAAAAGTAAGAAGTATGGAAGAAATTTTTATTTCGTATGAAAATAGGACAAAATAAGATATAGGTAGTATAATGATTACATGGAAAATAATAAGGTTTTATTATTAAGTATAATGTGAAGTTCGATTAATAGTTTAGTGTACCTATCAAAAAGCGATAAAACTGGTTCTACGTTTAACCTTTAAGTTATCGCTCATATTCCTTAATACATAGTAATCGAAATAAAAAATGATCTTACCTCTTGCATTCGTTGCTGCATCGGCTATCTTCTGGAAAGCATCTAGAAACGCGGCTACTGCTACTAAAGCTGACCTGTACCAAAATTATATTCTGTTAGAATCTGTATTGAAAGAATCCATTACAAAGATCAAAGAAATAAGTAACATTGTTTTTGTCTTTTTCTACGTAAGGATTGCCTATATTCAATATGATGAATTCAAAAGTAAAATAGCTTAAACATTCCTCACAAACGTCATAATGAGTTTTCTTATAAAGCATAACGATCTACAAAGTAAAACTAAACGCCTGTTAACATTTTATAGCAAATTGTAAAGATGTGTACAAAGCCATTAAACGCACGGATGGATATAATTTAACTTATACAGCAATAACCAATGCTTACTTAATATAATGAGTTAAATATTTATATTGTGATGGCCACATGGATATTTGACACAATCTGTGTACTTAAATGTATATACATAAATTTTAAAACTATCCTAATAAAGAGAGTGAGAGAGGTATCCAACATTACGACAAGCTGTTAGTGACCAAAAGTATCATTGAACCATAACAAGTAAAACTGCATGATACACCAATTGATCCATATTGGTGCTTTAGTGTCAATTGCGATGAATAGTGTCGAGTAATTGAAATATTTGCATGTACAATGCAACATCAAATCAAATTTTGGATGTTGCAGGGGACCCTCTTAAAGCTGATAACGGAAAAAAATATGATTACTTACTTTAACGCTGAGTGAAGTTTCGTAGCCTTTGATATGAATTCTTCCCACATCGGTGCGCAATTCTGTAACAAAGAAAATAGTACTATTAGTAAGTTATTTACAATTTATTTTCACTACGGCCCGACCGCGACGTTTCGGATGCTTTACAGTGGCCGTTGTCGGTGGGACATTTAAATGTGTACGACACGCGGATACTACAGACAATACTTAACGTAAATTCATTGCACTGATCGATTCTATTTACAAGTTTGTAGCTAATCCGACTTCTTTGCCCGGCTTGCCCTTTGAATTATATGTTTTCTCATGATTCGAACCCTAGCCCTCTCGCAGTAGTTGTTTTTATATAAGAGCATGAAACATTCAGAAGCAACCCTAAGTAGCAATTGTAGACGGACGGACGGACAGCGTCAATTTGTCTAATGCATCCGACACGACACAACACCGCGCGGCCGGCGGAAGCCGTGCTATTTGTATACCGACCTCAAGGTTCTGGCCGAAATTTGAGGCGAACGTTATCTATTTTAAAATAAACCGACGCCTTTAATAAAGAACGTGGTTAATTTTACTGGTTTGTTTTTAACGAAAGAAATAAAGCATAAAAAAGAGGACAGACAATCCTTGGGCTCACTCGCTGGTAGGTGAAACATCCTAGCTATATAACATCTATATAAGATGCGCTGTCAACTTTAGGCTTTGGATAATCGGAAATCCATGAAACCGAAACTTGATACACTTTTTTATCCGCGGAAGTCGGTTCGTGACCCAGGCGGAATTTCGATATTTCTACCACGTTTCTTCCGGATATTAAATATATCCAAATTTCCAAGCGAAGTCCAACACAGTTTCAGAAAAATTATATATAAACTGATTAAAGAATGTTGGGCCCGGTAGGTATCGAATCCACGATCCGTCGATTATTAGACATAAATTGCTACCATTACACCAACCCGTCAAAATAATACAAGTTTGGTCGCAAATCATTGCTATAATTCTTGCGGTGTAATGATGCTTTAGAAATACTAGTTTGCAGCTGTCACTTGTTGGTGTCTTCTCACCTAGGTAAACTATGAATTTCACCATCTACACAAGTAAATTTATATATTGTGTAAGTAGTTTAATTAGTATAATTTTTTTTTTAAATACTTCGTTTCCCCATCAAGACAAAAGTAATGTTCTTTGCTTTAATTCTCTAAAGGCATTTTCATCAAAATATCCTCAGGAATTCAAAAATCCCATAATTATTCCTATCAAAATAATTTAAGGCAAAAATCACATGTCATGCACTTAAATACAACCGTTACATGGCCTGTATTGTTCTAGAAATAACGCATGAGAAAAATTACTGACCTCTGAATATGGTAAAAGTGGTTTACCTATTACCAAGTAATTTCGATTGTGTATTTTTAGGCCGTAAACGATGTTATTTGTTCGGACGGTTTCACTACCATTACTTGCAGATTAGCCGTATTGACAGGAAAGTAGATTCAAGACAGATTCTACTTTCAACATAAAATGAATTTATCTTCCGTCCAGTTTGTAATCAGTTGAACTGTTAAGTGCATATTTATTGTCTGTGAAGACATTGATGTAGGTAATTTTAGATTGACGTTTCATCAACAATATTTCAAACTACCTACTTAAAAAGAAATATATTTCCACTTCAAAACACATCAACCGGCCTATGTATGAATATAAGAAATTAAATTGAAACTCATGTAATAAAAACCGACAAAATCAATTTTTACCATTATTACTTCACTCTAAGCTCTAAATATCACTTCATATTTTCCATGTCAAAACCTGACTCTGACCTGATGTCCTTTCTCGTACAAATCTTAACCAAACCATAGAAGCGATTGCAAAAACAAAACATGGTTACGCAAAATTGCGCGTAAGCATACGCTACATATAAGTCATGCACGTCGTTAAAGTAACAAGGTAGTTTGGTGACCGTCAGCAAATGTGCCTGCCGTATCCCTAACGCCACCGTTCGGTTCAATGACCTGTGAGAACTGACACCGGACGAGTGCGATACGATTTTTTGTGATCTATGGCCAGATAATCTTGCGTGTCTGTTTACAAAACCTTATACCTTATGATTTAGTCATATAAATAACTTTGTTTCTTTATTCTTAAAGTTACTCGCAGATTTTCAACCTGCCTATCTATTATCTCAAGTTAATTTAAAAATCGAAAATAAATTGAAAAAATTTTCGACTCGGGCAGGACTTGAACCGGGATCGTCAGGGAGTCGAAATTTAAAAAAAAATATTTTCAATTTTTCAATTATATTATAGTGCCTTCATGTGGGTGCATGTAAAAAATAATACAGTTTTCAAATATTACCTTAGTTGTTAAACAAGCTAGCAATTAGACTATTACCAACTGTAGACTTCGTACATTCAATTAAAATAAAAATTAAAACTAAGTTGTCTGAAAACGAGTGAAAACATCATGAACATGAATTATAGAAGAAACCGCTAAAGAAAGAAAAAAATGGTTTCTCGAATGACTCATATTCGTCTTCTTCTTAGTTTAATGGCTTTTCCGTTCTAAATTGATTCTTTCAATGTTATGGGAATATTATTTTACGACTACAGGCATTGAAAAAATCACAATAACAGATATCCTTAATGTTGAAAGTCTTGTCGCATGTCAATCGTATCGTGAGCTGTAAAAAGTGAGTGTACGCAGATATCACGCTCGAGCGAGTTGACAACTTGCCCAAGTCAGGACACGAATGCACGACCCTTCATAAGGCTTCAATGGGGCCTTAAACATTTTGGTGATATACTACACAAGGCCTAACAGAACATATAAAAAAACACATGGGAAATAAAATTAAAACTTTCAGTCTTTGGAATTAAAAATGTCAATTTTATTTTTTATTAGAGCGGCACCTACATAACACTTGCATTATAACTATACTATGCGTATAAGTTTGAGGACCATTCTCATTTTTACATGTCATAGATTTTATAAAGCCTAAATTTATAATCAATTTTAAATTGATATGATTCACGCAACATGACTCGAACCTACGGAAGGAGCGTTCCGCGTTATTTATCTACCATCTGAGTTACCATGCCCCTGCCCTCCTCATCGAATTTTTGCAATCCATTTCCAGGTCTTTCACCACAGACTAAGTCTGTGAGTTTATCAATCTTAAATAGATATTATTTAAAGACTAAGCTTTTTAAAATTTCTATCACAAAAATCCTACAACTGTTTCAGCTGTTGTGACTATACCGGGTGTCTTACAACACCCTAGTTATAGATCGTAAGCAAAGCCTTTCGTAGAATTAACGGAAACCGGCGATGTAGAAACTAAATAACTGAAGCCCTTCTAATCATTAAGTGAAAACGTTCGCTCAATGCAATAGTTCTCTTTATCGCTTCCAAATTTACACTTTGATCAACTCACCAGCGATGACTGATGCCCTTACGTTCACCTCAATAGAGCAGACACAGAATTAAATCGGAATTATAAACATTTCTCGCTAAACAAACTTTGATGTGAACATTTATTTCATAATCTCAGTGCATTTTGAGCTTTAGCTTTCGTAAATATTGTCGGAACTGCTATCGATCATCACCAAACCAAACCAAGAAAGAATGTTTTACAGTAACTACTAAGTTTCGTAAAATATCAAAAGTAAATGTATGTTATAAACTGAAAACAAATGGTTTGGCTACCAAGGAGATGGTTATCAGGCGATATCGAACTATCCATAACTAATCTAAGATTGTCTTGGGTGGAAGTAGACCAAACAGCTCAAAAATGTAAGTAGCTCTACAGTAGTTTGCAACCTAGTTTCAACGTTAAAGCAATTACGCTAAACATATATCATGTTTAAAAATGGAAATAAAATTGAAAAAAAAAATCGACTCGGGCTGGACCTGAACCGGCATCGTCAGCGTTCCGTGCTGTTGCTCTACCAATATACCATGTTTTCTAATTCTTGAACTGCTTCTAACTCATGAATCGATATACACTACTTTCTGTATAGAAAGATTAACCCGCTTTCATGTCGCAATCAGTACAAAGATCTTAAAGACTCGCTTGTCCAGATAATATCCGCTCGATCAAAGGGATACGTGATCTCTCAATAGCTGCCCGGCTATCCTTTCTTAGCGTCCATCTATTGCAGATTAGGCCTTAGTCATTTAACTACTAACAATACACGTAAAAGTATATGAAAACAAAGAGAAAATCTATTACGAATCGCTAACAATTTATAGCCCATGGCAACAATTTAAGACTCATTTATTTAAGGTCAAATCAATTCTCAGTATCAGCATCCACATTAAACGTGTAATTATAAACGACGCAATATATTTCGTCTCCGATTGATGTTTCATTTATTGACAAACAAATTGCTGTCAAGGGCAAAACCCTTAGGAGGGGACTAGATGATAAGCGGAAGCGGATACTCAAATAATTTTGACCTAGAAATGTAAAGTATCAGTTTTTTTACGAATTGTTTATTTATTCTTTCCTCGTGTAACTATGTACAACGTCTTTACGTTTCAGTTGTAGGGAATAGAGAATGAATACATTTTAAATTTATGCAGACAATATAAATTGTGTTCCTCAATTAGCGAAGTACTTTTGATTAATGCGATGAGTTCTTTTAAAAAAAAATATTTGACGTAAGATACTTAAGTAATGAGAGTGGACATGTTTGAATTTTTTTTATGTATAAATCTCCTTTTATAACTTCAAACTTCACAGTAAGTAAACTAAAACCGCAATTAGGTAGAGCGACATTGAAAGTTTTATTTAACTTTCGTTTCGCCTACGCTATCACCAAAGCCCTCACCTTTACGCGTTTAAACGAAAACAAACTTTAGACACAAGACGGTAAAGCTCCTATTCGTTAATATATTCACTTCTTATTTATTAGTATTAAGGAGACCCTGGCAACAGTACCTTTGATATTAGTTTCTGAGAAAAGCCCTCGAATAAGTCTTTCGTCGAAACCTTGTTAGAAATAATTTAATAATGTTTCGGTGTTTACAATAATTTGGTATGGAGCCTAATAAGCAATATGTAGGTTGA